GAGCAACAGCATCGCAGTTGCGTTTGATATTTACGAACACGATGACAGGTGGTTGGAATTCTCTTGACGATAAGATCTCGAGTAAGCGCTTCTTCCTCTTGTCTTCGCCTGCCACGAATTCGACACGCTGCTCGACGGTCTCGACAGCTTCGCCGACATTGCCGATGGTGACGATGGCTGGTCTACGAAGGTACTTCCGGGCTATCCGTTCGACAGCTGAGGGCATAGTAGCTGTGTACATCATTGTCTGCCTATAGCGGTCTTTCCCGCCCAAGTGTTGGCTCATGACAAGAGCATCTTCTGCTTCTTCTGAGTCTGGCTTCATATTTGCGACGGGAAGGGCATCGAGAATCTTGTTGACTGGCTCCTCGAAGCCAAGATCGATCATTCTGTCTGCTTCATCCATGATGACATAACAGCATTGTCCAAGTACGAGCACTCGCCTCTCGATGCAGTCAACCAGACGGCCAGGTGTGGCAATAATGATCTCGGCTCCATCCCGTAGATTGTAGGCCTGTTCTTCGAGAGAGTGACCTCCAACAATACTGACACACGTAAACCCAAGAGGAGTCGCGAATTTCCTTGCTTCGATCTCGATCTGTTGAGCCAACTCACGAGTAGGAGCCAAGATGACAGCGTAGGGACCATCGTTTTTCGTCAGCTCATTGAGGGCTGGAAGTTCCGATATGTAGACCAAAAGGGGTAATAGGAAAGCTGCTGTTTTACCCGAACCTGTCACAGCAACACCGATAAGATCTCGAGATTGAAGGGCGATAGGGATGGCAGCGCGCTGTACTGCAGAAGGTTCGGTATAGCCGACAAGGTCCACGACGTCCTGCAATTTCTTTGGCAAGCCTGATTCTGCCCATGAGCGCATGGGGTTCGGGATAGCTCCACCTTTTGTACTGATATTGAAGTCTTCTTTAAAGATTCTCCAATCTCTTTCGCGCATATGCTCTAGCCTCTTGTCGCTCCAATGTTTGTCTAACGAGCTTCTACCACCCTCTTCCTTCCTTCTCCTCTCCATCTCCATCATCTCCTTCGCTCTAGCCTTGCCTGAGTCGCGATCCGTATCTTGCAAGGCTCTAGCGTAATTACGAGCTGCGCTGTCAGCCAAGTCTTCCGAAAATCCTCCCAAGCGGCCTCTGCCATAGAATGTTGCCTCTGCTCGTGCCTGATACAGCGGGTTGTAGTCCGGGCTTGTATCCTCCTCTGCGTTCCACTCAAAGTTGAACTTCTTTTCTGTAGTCCGCCTCCGCTTCTTCTTGGCCGAAAAGGTGGATTGGTTTTGGTCCGCGCCCATATATCGTTGTTTTATCAAATTCTGCTGAGCCTCTTCAATAGCAGGTCGCTTTTCCCCTTTGGCTGCAGATGTGCCGATTACTGATGGCTTTGGAGGAGGTGGAGGAGCCATGTCGTAGCCTTTGTTTGGCTCCGAGGCACGCATGGAAGCAGGCCCTGTCGGTATCTCGCCTTTCCGCAAAGCTCTCGGACCAGTTGGTACTGGAGGACGAGCAGATCCATTGACTCCGTTTGTCTGCGTTGCAGGTCGGCCTGCTCCATTTCTAATGGGCTGAGCTGGGGCACTTTTGTCTCCATTTCGGGTTGCCCTGCTGGTATTCGCAGAAGAATCGGTCTTCTTTTTTTGCTCCTCAACCTCTTTCTCTCGCTTCTCAAGAGCTAGCTTTTCGCGCTGCGCCTTCGATAGAAATTTGGGCTAAACAAGGAAACAAAATATCAGTAGGGCTCGTTAAGTTACTAGAGTGAGGCACAAGGTGAATATAATGTAATGTAAATGTTGAATACTCGGGTTCATACCTTTGAAGCAACTTCATCCGCCTCTTTCTTTTTGCGTAGTATCTCTTCTACACTCAAAGGCTGCCTGCTGGGTGTAGCACCCCAGCCAGCCTTCTTTTTCTTCACTTCGGGCGGGGGCGGAGGCGGGTCGCCATTGGAACTAGATGGCGGCGGTGGTGGTAGATCTTCTGGGGGTGGAGGTGGAGCAAATGAGTCTGGAGGAGGTGGAGGAGCTGCGCCATCTGGGGGAGGTGGGGGCGGCGATGGGAGTCGGTCAGGCATATTATTGGAAGCGGTCTTCCTCACACCGTTTGTTAAATGGCCGTTCATACTGCTAGAAAATGTGAAAGTTATTGTGTAGTATTCGCAGACAAAATATCCGTCAGACAAGCAGCCCAAAAAAGTGGCCGTCTTCTGTACTGGCGTCTTTGCTCTTCAGCGCACCTATGGGCAGACAATCGATGTGCAGAAATAGACCAAGTTGAGTGTTTTATGGACTACGTATGAATCTCGTACTGTGCTCATCTTGTCAACGTTCATGGGGTTCTCACACTAGCGCCGCGCCTGCCTGCCGTAGGGCTGAGTCACAGGCGGAGATTCCGCTGTGAGCCTGACGGGATTGAGTGACTCCGGCAAGTGTTTTTGTCAGACGAAAATGTGTCGGCAAGCACAATGGCTCAAAGACACCTGGGGCTTCTGAAGCTCCAGCACCCCTGGAAGTCAGGTTCGCCATCATGGCCACTACGAGAGAAGCTCAGAATCTACAGAGCTCGGTATGGGATGGATCATTACCTATAGAGATCCGTCTATCACCTTCGGAATGTCGAGTCTACGATCAAGCCGATCCTTATCTCGTCCAATACCCCCGGCTCTCTTACCTACCTTTCCTTCTCCACCGTCTCCACGCTTTCTTCATCCCGTCACTTATAAACACTGATGTGATATCCTACGATGGTTGGTTCTCTTTTGAAGAAGTCCCTCTGAAATGGCAGTATCCGCTTGGGCTGCTCTACGATTTATTCTCCGGGGCTTCTCCGTCACAAGCATCTGGTCTGGATATTGCTCACCGTTCGCCCTCGGATAGTACAGATGAACAGTTGCCTTGGCGGCTGACGCTACACTTCACAGATTGGCCGGAGCAGTCGTTGGTACGTCCTGATGCTGAAGGGAAGATGCTGCACGATGCGTTTATCAACAGTGTGAAAGAGGCGGACTTTCTCAGGAATGGCACGGCCAAGGGAATCATGTCATTGTCAAAAGACGATTCGACAAAGCTGTGGAACGCTGTCCAAGAACGTATGGCTCGAGCAGTATTCCGTACAAGATGTGGACCGAGACTGACAGAGAGAACGGATAGATGACTTTGACGGGTACAACACAATCTCCAAACGACTCCTTTATGCTCAGGGCGCTCCACTTCGCCATATACCTCTGAAAATCTATCTACCTTCCTCGCCTACGGCCGCTGAGCCGGCATCTGGCCATCTGCGCGTCGTACAGTCGCTCGTCACGCCTAGCTTATCCAACTCACGAGAAAAACAGACCCTAGGCACAGCTCTGCATGCGTTGTTGCCAACGTTATTTCCTAGCCGAAGGACGCCGATCCTTGCCGAAGCTGTGCTTCACGGAGCAGTGGTGCCCATGGGGGCGTCGGTGGAGGAATTGATGAGGATCGCAGCATACTTGGATGGTTGGATACATTTGGGTGTCGTGATGATAGGCTAGGTACCGTGGTTATGGGATGTCGGGCATTCCAGTACTCCTTTCGCAGCTGAGTGCTTTGCGAAGCAGCAATTGTCAATGGTTGCCATCTTTCCGTCGATCTGGACCGCCAATATGACCGACCAGCCTATAAGCCGAGCGTGAGATACGCTGGCAGGTTTGGCGGTTGATTATGCGTGCGTTAAAGTGTGAAGAGAAGGGCGTGAAGATCCAGATCCAGTGGGTCCCTCGGTCTCGGGCGCTAGCGGCTAAGAAACCCTAGCCCTTCTCCAATATTCAAAAACCCAGGACTCAACAATCGTGCAATGGCTACTCTCTTCTCTCTGAGATGGACTTTGTTGATGTCTGCATTTCGCCGGCGCCAGTTGGCTGCTTTCACGTACTCTGGAAAGAACAAAGATGGGCTAGCCAGCCAACGAAACGACCCTTGTGAATCAACGCTAGCAGGCTAAGGAATATACAACTCGACCTACACTGCCTGGAAAGTTCCCTACTTTGAGAAGGAAATACTCGTCTTGCCAGGCTAGGAGTTGAAGTAGTGATGGTTTTCCTTCCACCGTTTCTTCGCACCAACAAATCACAGCAAACCATATCCTTGAATGCTTCTCCCCCGTGCAACTGAGACCAGCATGTTGTCCTCTTCCCGGTGCTTGTGTGTTTCCCTGCGACCACTGCACACAGGATCCTTGTGTTCTAGTACGCATGTAAACGTCAAAAATACCGATAACAGCCGTGAAGAGGTCCTTTTACACCCACACCATAGAACTTTGCAAAGTTCCGAATTTGAAAACATCTGCAATTGAACACCCATAACGAGAAGAGTATGCGCTCGTAATACGTCATTGACCTCAGCACTTGTCCCGACATCTACAGCCGTCTCTATCCCCAGAAATCCTTCCATCCTGTCCTTCAACTACCTTTAGATGACTCATTCGCCCACCAAATTGCCCATTTGAGGACACCGAAATTGGTCACTGAGCTGTAACTCCATCTGCCCTCCAATCCGAGGGAGAGAAGACATATCTGTCTATAGAGCTATCTACGGGAATCGAATGACGCACTTAACGAGAGGGAGCGGGAAGCCTTCTATAACGCTGATAGATTGGTGACTGAAGACGGCAAGCCAAGTGACTTCAGCTGCGGCTTTTTCGTACTCAGCGGCCAGGTGTCTATCAAGATGCCGATGAACCATTGTGGTGGCTTTGCAGGCTACAATTCAGCCTTCCCAGCGCCTCAATTCATCTAGATGTCAAATGGAATAGGTCCTTCCTTCTGCTGCTGATGTATCTATAATCGTTGACAGTGGTGCTGCGCGATCCTGCTTCCATCGCCGCAGAGCGGTCTAGTGATTCTGGTAACTCAGTATGAACTAATAACGCCCCTATGGAAATTTAGCTTGTAGTTCCTTCAACTTAAGAGGCGGTCATGGTACTCTGACTTTTCAGACTTGCCTTCTCTACTGTTGCCGCTCTGCGAATACCATGCGCCTCAAAGATGTTTTCTCTAGGAAACATGGAAATATCGTGAAAGCATCAAGCTGGCGCGAAGCCGACTCAACTAGGAACAAGAACCCTCAGGATGGCTCAGCAGCATCACTGGCGGGTGGGATGGGGTCTCTAAACCTCGATGGTCCTGACGTCGGACTATCTGATGTCGAAAGAGTCTCTCAGCATGAAACGCCTGCTAAAGCTTCAAAATTTTGGTACTAGCCCTTTCCTTCAGACTTGCGCCTCTCTTCCTTGAGACAATCAGACAGTTCTGATACTTCTATCGAGGGTGCGGAGGGATGAGTTCCTCTCGGAGCCTGACATTGGTGGGTTCATAATGTGAAGCATATATCAGCCGCCTCATCCGAAGCAATTTGCCTATTCAACGCTCTCCTAAGCACGATCGCTAATGTGATCGTATAGTAAGAAAAGTTACTGGGCCATAGCAGCCCAGCAACTGCAACGAGCGCAGCCTGCATTGGCTGAAGCTCTGCTGAAAATCCAGAGTGCCGCACTACTAGAAGGCCAGAACCTCGCCGAGGTACTACTAGTGGAGACGGAGAGAAGAAAAGACCAACTTCTTGAGAAGAGATGGAAGATCAACTTGCCGGAAAAGAAATCATTCTTCACGACAAGCTAAACATGATCTGCAAGTCTATCCAAGCGCTCAAAGACATGGGCAGCCAAATAGCAGGTTTAGACCCTCTCCATGCTGGTTTGCCATGGGCTGGATTTTGCCTGTTGATGCAAACTGCGTTAAGCGAATCTGATCAATACGCCGCTATGGTCGCTGGTGTAGAAGAAGTCGCCAAGCTCATTTCCCGCTATACGCACGTCGAGTTCATATGTCAAAAACGGCAGGAGGTCACTCTCGATAATTAGTTCGAAGAGCGATTGCTCAATTTGTATGGGCAAATTCTCAGGTACCAGGTTTCCGCAGCCTGTTTCTATCAGAGGAACACAGTCGTCAGGTTTCTACGATTCATTCCGAATCTGGATGATATGTCCGACGTACTAGCTCACATACGGCGAAGTAACTCGGAGTGCATAGAACTTTTACGGATTTTGTTTACCAAGGACGAACTGTTCCTGCATTCAGAGGTCTTGCTCTTCCTAAAGAGCCTCAAGGAGGATCTGGCTATCGTATCTCAAGACGTTCGTCAAATGACCGGAGGCAAGCCCATGACCCCAGAAGTACCTCCATACATTCCATTTGCATTCGACCCAGATCCCAAGTTCACGGGCCGGATAGATGTAGTTGAGGGGCTGGATGCTGGCTTCAGCAAGTATCGACGAATGGCTCTCGTTGGTTGGGCCGGGATTGGCAAATCTCAGATAACTATAGAGTATGCACATCGTGTCCACAAGCGCTCGCCACCCACCCGTATATTTTGGGTCCGAGGCGCTCGAAAGGACGCTTTCCTGAAAAGCTATAGAGACCTAGCTCGCCAACTGAAATTATCGGGATAGGATGATCCAGAAGTTAACGTTGGGAAACTTTTCGGCGACTGGCTCCGTGATCCAATAAACAGGCCCTGGTTAATGGTGGTCGATAACGTTGACGACGAGACGTTGTTTTCCAGCTCGAGTCGAAGGGAACATACTCCGAACTCGAATGCGAGCCTCGAGGTGCACCAACTTCATAGGCATCTCCCACAAGTATCGCACGGTTCAATACTTATTACCTCAAGGAATCGAGTCGCAGCAAGGGATATCACCAATGGAGACGATTGCATTATCTCCGTGGACCGCCTACCAGAGCCAGACGCGTTGTCTCTGCTGCACAAAAAGCTCCCTAAAGACAATTCGTTTATGGAAGATGCAAAGGAACTGGTCAGTCTCCTCGAGTACTTCCCTCTCGCCATAACTCAGGCCGCGGCATATATCAGTAATGGTTCTGGTCGGAGGACCATCTCTCTTTATCTGAATCTCTTCCGATCTGATCAGGTTGGCTATCTTGAGATGGCTGCCAATGATATCCGACGGGACTCAGATGAGCTAGATCAGGACTTCTCAAATTCCGTCCTGAAAACATGATTCATTACGTTCAAGCACAGCAAGGAAAAAACAACCCAGATGCTGCCGAGAATATTTGCTTCATGAGCCTTGTATTTGGACAAGAAACCCAATGGAAAGTCTTCTTTGTTTCTCCGAGGTCAATTCTCACGAAGTTGAGGAGAGCATTGGACCGCTGATTGAGTTCTCTCTAAATCACTGAGGACACGGGTAGGTTCTTCAGCATCCATCGACTAGTACAGCTTTCCGTCCAGCATTGGCTTCACACCAGTAACGACTTCGCTCGAAACGTAGAGATTGCCGTTTCAGCACTGAGTATTCGGTTTCCTTACGCACGGCAAGACAGCTGGAGGACCTGTGAGCTCTTAATGCCGCATGTCGACGTTGTCCTGGCATACGAATTTTCTTCACCTACATCACTTGAGCGTCAATCGCTACTCTTCAGTGACACCGCGAGGTATTTCAACTCAAGGGGCAATTAGGCTTTGTCGCTTGAGAGAGCTTTAGAGGCCCTTAGAATCAGCATTACTCATTTTAGCGTTGATTTCCACATAACACGGTTCAAGGCAGAGATATGCATAGTTCTAGCGCATGAGAGCCTGGGCAACAATAAGCAGGCAGAGACCCTTGCACGCTCTCTTGCGACTAGCGCTAGACAGTCATACTCGGATGATGATCGGAAGACAATGGGAGCGATAGACCTACTAGGGCGAGTTTTGGCCTCTTGTGGAAAGTACAAGGAAGCTGAAGCTGCGACAAGGGAGGCTCTGAGGCTGCGAGAAACCTACCTTGGAGAAGATGACTCGCAGACCTTGGCTAGCCTGTCCAATTTGGCCAGCGTTCTAGCGAAGCGATCAGACTTCACAATGGCTTGTTAATTGCAAGAAGCGTTGGTTGCAAGGAGCACCAATGCCAAAGGACCGATGCACAGTGACACACTACTGTTTATCAATAATTATAGCTCCACTCTGATCACAATTGGATTTCTCCAAGAGGCTGAAAAGCTACTCCGAGATATGTACTTCAAGCGGGTCGAATTGCTTACTGAAGACCATCCTGACACCATCCTGAACCTCGCGAATTACGTACTGGCACTGACGTTCCAATCCAAACTCACAGAAGCTCAGAAGTTGAATGATCACGCGTTGTACCTGACGAGAAAGAATCAGTCGGAAGGGAAAAACTCACTTCTGCTACTTCACAATAAAGGTGTCATTAACTCGATGTTGGATAGATTAGTAGAAGCAAAGGAATGCCTTCAAGAAGTAGTGCGATTGAGAGGAGAACACCTCGGTGATCTCCATCCAGACACTCTTCTGAGTATTCAGGAACTTGGTCGTTGCGAGCTCGCGCTTGGGAATCATAAAGCTGCAGAAGTACATCTCGAACACAGCTGGAAGCAGTGCGAGGAGCAGCTTGGAGAGGACCACTTTTTCACCATATTAGCTGCCGGGACTATGACGACTTTGCGAAGAAAGCAAGGTAGATTGGACGAGTCTGAGGCTTTGGCTAGGACGAATCTCGCTAGCAGTCAACGAGTCTTAGGTCTACACCATCGGCAGGCCCTTGGAAGGCAGGGTAATCTTGCACAGGTCTTGTCTAGCAAGGAGCAGTACAAACTTGCCAGTGACTGTATCAGCGATGCCTTGACGACCTCGACTCGACTTTACGGGGGGAATGATCCACAGACCCTTGCCATAAAGCACAAGTGTGCTTCGATCTTAGATGAGAGTGTGGAGACCTACCACCAAGCCGCACATGCATATCAGGAGTTGCTTGTAGACTATTCGAGTTATTATGGCTGCGCCTCTTCCGACATCGTTTCGGCACGAAGTCAATACGCATCCCTATTGTGCAAGCTTGACAAACTTGAGGAGGCAGAGGAGCTAAATCGCGAGAATGTCACAATATGTCAAAACAACCTTGGTCAGGTCCATCGACTGACATATAATGCTTTTCAAGGCCTTGCCTTCGTCCTCGCGCCGGACCACCCTGATTCAGCCTATTTAAGTAGCCAGTGTGAACAGTCCGTGATTCCAGCGGCAATGAACGCGTCTGCGGAGCGCGAACGCCGGCGGCAAGAAAGTCTCAAACTTCGACAGCAAGTGATCGAGATTAACACGACTTTGTTGGGACACGATGAGGAGCCAACTATTCGGGTAAGAGAAAAATTTGCCTCATTCCTTTAAGACGAGGGCGACAATGATGAGACCCTCATAATCTATCAAGGTGTCATGATCAAACGCCAGCAATGCTTAGGCTTGAACGATCCAGAGACGCTCGACAGATCCCATAGAATTACGTGCGTTCTTCGAAAGATGTCACGATACTCTGAAGCAGAGACGCTGTCTCGTCAAATATGGAACCTTCGGAGCATGTGCTTGGTCATGACAATGGAAACACCTTGGCTTCGAAGAATGCTCTTGCACTATCTCTGCGATATCATGAGGACATCAAAAGAGCCTTCCAATTGGACCAAGAGTTGTTAGACCACAAGAAAATCGTCTTTGGAACAGGTTCATTACAAGTCCTGCACACCATGAACAATCTTGCCATGGATTATTATGATCTGCGGGACTTCAACACGCAGTGACATGACTAGAAGAAGTGGTTACAGGCAGGAAGCAAAGACTTGGACCCAAGCATGATTTAACACTGCTCAGTACCCACAATCTTGGTCTAAATCTTCAAAAGCAGGAGAGATGGCATGAGGCTGAGACTGTGTTTCGCGAAATTTTAGCCATCCGAATCTCGATGCTGGGCCACACACATCATCTCATCAGCGAGACCATTTTTCAGCTCTCGATTTGTCTGCGCAGACAGGATAAGAACGAGGACGCAATCACATTGGCCGCGGAAGCGCTTCAACATCATGAAACAGAGCTCGGTCCCGCTCACACAAAGACGCTATTTGCTCTGGAATCCCTGGCAACAACACTGTATCTGTGCGACCAATGTTCGAGAGCAGAGTCTGCCTACAAACAGTATTTCGAATTGAGGAACAAACACCGGAGAAGGGATTAAGCATAAAACTCGCAACCTTCCAGGATTTTGCTGCAGTCCTACAAAGGCTAGGGAAATATTCTGAGGCAGAATCATGGTGCCTTCGAGCCCACAAAGGAATACAACCCATCCTTGGCATCGATCATGCAGACACTCTTTTCAGTGCCTGGAGTCTTGCCGTCTGCCTCCTTAGAACGAAACGTAAACTTCCAGAGGCAGAAACCCTATGTCGCACAATGATCGTCCTTCGAGAATCAACAGTCGGTAAAACACATAAACAGACGCTGCTTATGTTGCAGCTACTGGCATTCGCCCTCAATTTGAAAGCCGCAACGGCAGAGAATACCACACAGTTGCAAGACCTAGAGGCAAGGCTCGAAGAGAACGGCCAAGAGACTCAGCTCCATGGCGTGATCCTACAAGACTTAATGAATGCGACCAACAGTTCTAAACACTACGTCAAAGTGCAGTCATACGGATACCAGTACCTGCATTTGCAACAACAGACTCGCGGCAAAGACAGTCTGGAAGTAGCGAACGTGTTATTTTAACTCGCAGTGCTCTCGTACAACCAGGGCTTCTTCTATGAATTTGCACAGAACCTCCGCAAGGCCTTGAACATCTATGAATCGCACTCAAAGATCAAGGATGAAGAGTACCTCAACATGCTCACCCGTCTATCAGAAACGCTCCTCAAGGAAACAACGTCTGGTCAAGCACAGAAAGAGGCTCAACTCCTCTGCGACCAGGCCATCGAACTCGATCAATCACTCTCGTCTTCATCCACCCTACGCCCGCCCGTCTCTTTCCACAGCAAAGCACGAATCTCACGCCTCTCATACAAGATAGGAAAATACCCAGAGTCCGAAGCAGTGGCCCTCGGCGTGGTCACAGAGGGCGAGAAAGTCCTAAGAGCAAGCCACACGGCCCTTCTCGGTAGCAGGCGGCGGATTGCACGACTGATGGCGTGCACCGAGAGAAAAGACGAAGCACTAGTACTGATGCGCTCAGCTTTCTATTCGGACGTCGAGCGCAGGGGTAAGAATGACAAGGGCACGCTGGAGACGGCGGGGCAATACGGGGCGTTGTTGAGAGATATGGGGAGATTGTGGGAGGCAGAGTTGGCACTGAGGGCGGCGTTGATGAAGAAGGAGAGGGAACTGGGTTGCGGGAGTCCGTGGAGTGTGGAGACTAGGAACGATTATGTTTTACTTTTGCTTATGGGCTAAGATTTCTAGGGTCATGATCATGCTCCTGAGGAAGGCTTGGGTCTCGCGGGCGGGACCTGTCACGGGCTTGGTGAGGTGGAGAAACTTGGTTCGATTCTGTTTCGATAATTTCTTTGCCATGTTTGGGCCTTGTCTGAGCAGTTTCGATAACTCCTTGAAAGTATGATATATGGCCCAACCTTGGGATTCAAGGCCTGCATTACGATGTTTGTATTTATAGGGGGAAGAGCTTCTTCTAGCGAGTGATGCTCTCCGCATCTTTTGTTGGATCATGCATTCCTGGAAGCTTGGGATGATGAATGGAATATTCAACGGCTGCATGTACGTACGGTAGCGCCACAGCATCGAGTCTCGTCATGGGTCCCCAGCATTCTCCACTATGAACTCGCCGAGTTATGGCTAGGAAGGTGTCCCAGTATCGGCGAGGGAAGTACTATCCACAACGATAATATCTCATCACGCAAAAATCGTAGGACGAGACTCAATGTCTGATCAATACGTGTATGACGCCTAGGTCACATGATGCGCTAAGACGAAAAAGAAAAAGCTTGGTACGAGAAAATTTCATCTGCATTTCCACTCCTTCCACACACAACCAAAGGGACAATCTGGCGGGTCGACTGGCCTTCAAAGCATAGCAGTGTGTAATCAAGACAGTCTGATAGCTGTTCACACTCTCCTCCCTACCACCACCCTCTCGACAGCGATTAAAACTTCTTGTCCCCCACCGCCTGGAAGAATTCCCGGCGCGCTCAGGAACAGAGAACTTACTCCTCCCAACCTCATCGCGTACACCGATGGTCCAGATCACGGTGTAGGTTTCCTCCATGCGCGCTACTACCATCCGGCTCCACCGTCTACTCTAAGCGATCTCATTTATCTTTTCAAACATCCGTCCCCCCCCCCCAAAATGCAATCAATGCATTGAACGTTTACAATCACCCCCACGGCTTTGCCTACCTCCTGTACCTCTCAACCAATGGTCTCGAGGCATACTTTTATTCCAGCCGGTGGGAGAATAGCACCAGGTTTTTAGCAGAGCCGTGTCTTCTCCACCCCACCGTCATTCCGCCTTTCCGTGCGGCGGTGGGACTTTTTATACAGACAGACATCTAGATAGCTGTAGAATGCTATGGAAGTACCGGGTTGGATTTGGGAATGTGTATCAGGTGTTCTGGAATTGCCCTCCTGCGGTTGAAATCTTGAGATTCCATTTTTGAAGAATGTTGCCTGTGAATTCGCGTCTCGTGAGTCGTGTGAGACCGTGTTGGATTCCCGGCCGAAACATCTCGTTGCGATCCTCCTATATCTGGAGCCAAGAGGTGTCTCGATAGTCGTCCTCAGCCTCCTAGCGAGCTATCTAAGCAGCATGGTCCATTCCCTTTTCCTTTGTCCTGAGCATTGTGGAACTCTTTCAGATGTGATTCAAAGACCCAAAACCAGGAGGATAAATGCAAGCCCGAAGAGGATATGCTATTACGCATGGGTGAAAACGGGTCGTTGCTCGAAACCGTCCGTGTTTGAGAGTCTAACAATAATTCAGGCGCGTTGCCGGGGAAAAGTGACGGTTGTCATGGATGATTTCCGCGATAATCGTCATTTTACCTGCCACGCAGAAATTACAGTGTCCTACAGTTCGAGCGCGTTCTCAGAAAAATGGGACCCTGTTCACGAAATTTTTCTGGACACTTCGTCAACCTGCAAGGGAATTGATGGTTGAAGCCCTACAATTCAGACGCGGTGTAGACCCTGTCCACCAAGCTCTTTCCTTATAACCTCGTCAAGCTACAGGGGAAATGTTTTAAATGCGTTTAACTGTTTTACTAAATATCCTTCGGTTAGGAAGCGCCGATTCGGTCTGGCCAATACTCACACAAAAATGCGTAAATTGAGAGGCAAATCCTTCAGAATTAGGCATAACACCTACTCAATTTACAGCAGATATCGATAATCAGGACTCATATCCCCCTTCTCCGTCTTTTCAAACTCCGTCAGCCCGAGATCCGTACCCGCCTTGTCCCGGTTCCTGTTCTGCACCAGCACGCTAGCGGCGTAAGCACAGCAAGCCGCTGCGCTCAGACATGCAAAGCCGATGCAGATGCCATAGCCTTGTCTGTAACGCGGTGCATCTTTGGCCAGGAAAGCGTAGGTGGCGATGATCCCGCCAATGTTGCCGAAGCCGATCTGCCAGGCCGTTCCGACCGCTCGACGATGGTGGCCACCGAGGTTGAGGTTGAACCAGCAGACCGTCACCGGCAGGGCCGAGTAAGTGCCCATGGTGACGAGGAACAGCGCTGCGTATTCGAGATGCGGCCTCGTGTGCACGGTCAATAGGATAGCGAAACCAGCGATGGACATGGCGATTGGAATCAGTGTGAACAAGAAGCGATGCTTGAACTGGTCCGAGAAGAAAGCAACGATGAGCGCGAAGACGAAAGAGCATGCCCACGGGGGGACGCTGTGCAGTTGGGTGCCGATCTGAGTATAACCGTATGTTTTGATGATACCGGGGGCGAAGAATGCGTAGCCGTAGGCGGGGACGATGAGTCCAAAATACATGAACCCGCCGAGGAAGAACTTGTAGTCTTTGAAGCAGTTGAAGACGTCTTGGGGGGTGATGCGGCGCTCGCGGGCGGAGCGACCTTGGTCCTTCTCGAGCCGGGCTTTGACGTAGGCGCGTTCGTCTTCTCTGAGCCTGCGAATAGTGGGGTTGGTCATTTACATCTACCGGTCGGTGGGAGGGATGGGGAAGCAATTGTTTACCATTTGGCCTCTTCCGGAAAGTCTGGGATCATGAAGTAGAGTGCGAATGAAATGACACACGAAAGCACGCCCTCTATTCCAAAATCAGTGGGATGCCTCTGGCATGGCAACTCACGGAAGAGGAATACCAAGGATAAAGATCCATCTCCAGCCAAGATAGCCACGCATCCCATCCATCTTGCCAATCGCGGACGCAAGAAGGCCGCCGAAGGCCCCGGCTAGACTGGTACTACCGAAGAAGAAAGAGTAACGCTTCTGGGCCTCGGAGCGCTTATACCACATGCCAATAAGATAGAAAGAACCTGGGAACATGCCTGTCTCGGCAAGACCTAGGAAAAAGCGAGTTGCAAGAAGCCCGCTCCAGTTCTTCACTAAACCTTGGCAGATGGTTACGAGGCCGAAGAGGAACATGCACGCCGATAGCCAGACGTGCGGCTTGAGTCTTTTCAGAATGATATTCGATGGTATCTCAAAGACGATATATGGTATGAAGAACATGGTCAAGGCGGTATTATATTGAGTACCGGTCAATTTCAGATCCTTCTGGAGACCGAACACGGACGCGTTGGCGATATTGGTCCGGTCGAGGAAGGCCAGCAGATACATGAGACTGAGGACGGGTATCACGCGAAGATCGATCTTGGAGACAAGTCTGCGCTGGGAGGCTACGCACATTTCGGATTCAGCAATGCTTCTTCAAGGCAAGAACCCTGATATGACACGAGTCTCGGCAATAGAAGGGGAACTCTCCCTCGCGCACTACGTCTTGCGACTTTGGTTTTGGTACAGAGGGGGGAGAATGGCTCCGAGATATACGTACTATGCGAAGGGCACTGGACGCCGAGGTCATCGTCATATTCCGCTCCAGGCTGGGCAACATGGGGATCGTAATAGTTGCCGCCGTATTGTCCCTTGTCGTCTACAGGTGAATCGGAGGATCCGGACGTCTCTGAAAAGAGTCAATGGAATGTTTACAGCCGCCGGGAGGGTGTCGTTACTGTCGTGTGTCCCCATTATGAGCAATTTCCCCCCCAAAAAGCCTCCTGTTTCTATTTATATTGATCAACGACCTTGATAAATTGGATAAGAAAACGATGCTATACGCATGAACAGCTTTGCAGGTACGGAAGCTTTTGTAACCGCAGGTTTCGTCTTTGGTTACCTTACCCCGCAATCGGATTTTAGGCACGCTAGGGCCAATCGGATGGAGCCGTTCAACAGCCGATTCGCTTACTCTTGAATGGCGGTCAGTCAGCACTGATCCTCGGGCACTTGGACCCCCGAAAGTCTTTTTTATGCAGGCCCTCAATTCACCCCCTTTTCGCACGCACGCATGCACTCACTCCTGACGTTCCCTAATACATATCTGTATACAAGGAAGGACTTATTCCCTAACATCAGATTAACAGTAGTCCTCCAAAGCATCAGAATACCGTCAACATATTATTTATTCGAGGAATTGGCACCAAGTGGAATCATCGGAGCCGGACAAGAATAGAGACCGGAATCTGTGATGGGTTGGTAAGCATGAAAAGGGTGGATACGAGACCGTGACAGCGAGGAATCTCGGGCTGTCGACCGGCTTCTGCCCTTTGGCTGGACAAGCAGAGCATATCTTTCATATCATAAAAAATAATATATATATTAAAAAAGCGGAAAGGATACGGAACAAACACAGGAACAACGGAGCCCCATATTAGAAAAGTCACCAACACGTTTAGAAACGCAACGTTGGGGTTTATAGTCTACCGACAGTTCACAAGTCGGAAGCGCCCGCAGGAGCCGCAAAAGAGTCGGGGTTAATTACAAGAAGACCCAGAAGCGCCAGCGGTTGCCCGGCACACTCACAAAAGGATCCAGCGAAGCGACGCTGGTCATCAACAGGAGGAGCGGACAGAACCTACGTCGAAGATAGAGCAGCGAAACCCTCGTCGCGGTCAACACCCCTCGATTCAGAGATCGACACGTGAACCAACGTTGAGCCGGGGAGGTGGGGAGGCCCTTAGGAGCACAACAAAGGCACAACGAGGGAGGCCCCGTCAGAAAACGCCCGGTCAAGCACGAGTCAGTATGGCCCGACAAGGTAGTCGAGGTCCAGTGAGGTTCCCGGGAGAAGTTGTCGGAGGTCGCGCAGACACCCAAAACCGACACCGGAGCCGAGGTTCGCCAACAGAAAGCGAGTCATATTCCCAAAAGACATGGCATCAGGTACTGATCCATATACCGAGCATAGGTCGAGCTCTCAACAAGGACAGTGACCATGCCCACAAATCAGAACGACGATGAGCTCGTGGCATTCGTCTCGGACACTCGAGGCCCGCGCCCTTGGTAAGAAGCCCCGTTATTAAGCTGGCCTCGCCCAGTTGCGATGAGGTACAGACCCCGTCAAGAGTCAAACAGGACGAAAATAAGGTTAGGAACATTACTCTGCGTAGGATGAATTCCAACCACGGGCAGCGAGCAGAACAGTCCCAGGGTGAGGTTCCGGAATCAGGTATAGTGATGTGACAGGCCGCGGGTACGTGGGTACTGGTAAGCAGCAGGAGGTGACTCCGATGATCGAACCAGTTGGCCAGTGTAACATTGCTCTGAACAGATTTCTCGTGCGACAAACGAAGGGCTGATTTAAAGACAGCCAGATCGCCTAAGCGGAAAGGGGGGAAATGACCAAGGTGGCTTGTAAAGCCTGGTTACTGGAAAAACTCGTCAGGGTGTTCTCGGTGAGGGCAAGCACCTGGCAATTAATAGGGTTCATTTTCCCGAGCCCGGTCTAACATGTCGCTGGCGGACTTGCGAAATGGGCTGCTGGCGCATTCTTGATGAGTTGTGAGTTTATTGAGAAGCTGTTGACCTCGCCATTGGAGCCAGTGATTAAAGTTATAGGGGCACTGGCAATGATGAGCCCCAGCCTGCAGCGAGTCAAGTCCAAGCTTTAAAGATTGTTCCTATCTGTTAACCACAAGAGAGGAATTGGTTGCTGTAGAGATGATATTGATGCGATCGAAGGCAAGTAGAAGTATCAGAGCTACGAAACGGTATATTTCTAAAATACTCTGGGTCCAAGACGTGTTCGCGGGAGAGGGGTCGGAGAACCTTCCAGGCATCGCGAACTTTGATAGACAGGTCGATAACGACGAGGATGAAGCCGGCGATTTGGTATCCGCCCCATCAATTTGAGAAGATGCACCTCTGCGACTCTTACTTTCAAATCAGGGTACTCCCATTTCTGGTTGATTACTTAGATCGTTTATTGTGCCGGTGAATCACTAATACAGACAATCTCAGAGGAGTACAATGAGTTGATGCCGGTGATCTTTAACTTAGGTATGGGAATGTGGATGTTTGATTTTCAACGCTTCTACAAGGCTGATACACTAAACTCTCTGAGTCACGTTCGTTGTTTCCTGGATTACTCCCACTATGCGGTGATACTTACGAAGTACCATTAGCAGATGACGCCAGGGCTTCAGTCCCCATGGTAGTGACTACCGCCGCAGATGGGGTCAACCGCATCTATATTTGTAGTTGGATGTTTACGGAACTGATAATCCAATCTGAACATCTTCCTGGAGATTGTATGGTTCATCCAGATAGCAGGAATGCGAGAAAACTCCGAGCCCGGATCGACAATTGGCCGCTTGGAATGAGGTGCTTTGGTATAGGTATAGGCTCAACCTCCTTCATTAATTGGTTCTTGCAATTCGACATAATGTTCATCGAAGCGGTGTGTTGCGTTTTCTTCCGATCCCATTGAGCCAGAGATGCTGAGTTCCCAGCTCACAAAAATCGCTGCGGGGGGTTCGACAGAATCACTTAGGCTTTTCCTTGTATGTTGACTGATTCATGATCTCGGGATATGCAGCTGACAAAGCTTAGGCTGGAAAGATGCCAAATCGCTCTCAGTGACGGGTAGTGGCGCAGTCGTGAAATACAACTCAGGTACGTTACTCAGATAAAACACATGCTTGTGCAGTTATTGAGTATGTTCAACTAGGGAGTTACATGTTTCTCGCTTTGGGTAGACTCAGATAAAAGCGCCTTATGCGGCTTTGACGCATGCTGAATTTGTTAGCAATATTATTATACCGATCCGGTTTTGATATCATAGCGGATCGTAGCCCGCAAAGTGGAGGTTTTCGAGGAACTTTGCCATGGAATGCATCAATATGATACTGGTTGGTTTCTCAAGATGGCCGCTGGGATGGCAAGAGCAAGAGGAGATAGTGGAAAGGTGCGTGGGCTTTGCAGCGAGAGGTCCTACAGCGCAAGTCCGAAGGAAAAAACGAAAGAAATAGTTGCCAGGATTTCTTGTTCTTGAAACACAGTATATGGCACTAGGGATGTAGAGTACCCATAGACCTTTTTCATTGGCTCATTCTCAATGAACCGTCACACTTATATTCTGAGGATTAATCACGATACGACCAGCTCATTACTTGAGCTCTATTGTCGCACTTTTGTTAGCATCCAGCATCAGTAAAGTAGACTTCATCTACCACCCGTAAGGTACTCGTGCTGTCAGGAGTGAGTTACCTCGCTTAATAGCGCCGGGAGAGTTGACCAATCAGACTACGATTTTCGCGGAGAACTGAGTAGTTTGATTGGTTAACTCTCCCGGCGCTATTAAGCGAGGTAACTCACTCCTGGACAGCACGAGTATTGCAGACCGCAACCATTAATGCCAAGAGTCTACTCCCGCCACTAATCTTAAGGTTAATCTCCGAAGCTAGTGCTACGTCCGTACAACACTTTCCGGATAATCAATCCGTCCACTTCACTTCCATGTAGACACTAACATGTTTCTTCTGAGTCCTTCCATCAACTTCGGTCAGTGACCACAAAAAAGACAGCACCGACTCTCCTTAACTATACATTCCCTTGTGGCCGTACAGCAAACTTCCTCTGACCTCTGCCATCCGTCGAAGACCTCTACCTCGTTGCTTACGATTTCCACGCATCTTCTACTTAGCTTGACCACGCCCATCATGTGGTTTCAGAATAGTACGCCTGAAACCGTTCGAGAGTATGTCGCACGGCAAGAATCAAGAAACGCATCTAAACGCAAGGCTGCTCATGGTTCAGTCATGGAGCCTTCTACCAAGAAACAGAAGTTCCTTCACGGCTTCGTGCCTCCAGCTCCAGCTCAACCTCAAGCCCATGCCACGACGCAAAATAGGCCTACTAACGAGAGACCGAAGCTCGTTGAAGCTTCTCGGCTCCTAGCTCAAGCTCAACCCCATGAAATGACAAATTCTGGGCCCTGGACCGAGAAACGGAAGTCAGACCACTGCCCTGTCTCTCCAGCTCAAGATCATGATATGGCAAACCATGGCCTGACTATCCAAAACCTGGAGCTCGATCACGGCTCTCTGCCTTCAGCTCCAGCTCCAGCTCCAGCTCCAGCTCACGATACCACAGACCTTGGGCCCGCCACCAAGAAACAGAAGCTCTCTTATGCTAGCTTACCTCCAGCCCGAGTTCCCAAAAGGATCTCAAGCGTAGATCGCGCTCGTGCTGAAACCCTTCTCTTCCGAAGAATGCTTGGGAGATGGTGCAAAGCCTACGGATTTGATTGCCAATCATTAGATCAGAGCAGAATATCAGACACATTGTTGATGTCTCCCGACTTTGACGTTCACAGGTACTTTGCTAACGAGAGCTTGAACGTTCGTCCCTATGCTTGTCGACCACCAGAGCCTGACGTACATCCTTTCGCTAATTCATCAGCTGAGAACTTGACTGCCAAAAGCTCAAGACTGGACGTACATCGTGTGCCCGAACAGAAGCCCCGCGACTTCTCCCATCACTCGGCACCTTCCAATACAGGCGCTCAAGCGCGTCCTATCTCTGGCGAAGCCTGTGTTCATTATACACCAGCTCAAGGCCCAATCAGCAGAGGGCGTCCAGGTTCTGTGTATGAGACCTCTCATCACCCACCAATTCAAAGCACAAACGCTGAAGCGTCATTTGCCACCGGCGGCAACCCCAAGGAAGTGTGTCTGCCTCTCAGCGACGAAGCTTCCACCTCGTTGTCGGCGATCATTGCAATATACAGAAGCCCATATTGCTCTTCAGTAGATCCCAACCTGCGATGCAGTAGCACACCTGCGATCTCGGACCAGATTGCTTCAGTAGGCTCGGATCGTGATATGGGAGATGATGCTGCAGCTGTGAGCTCAGATCAGATCGCTCCCTTAGCTCCAGATTCCGGTTTGAGAGACGATACCACGCCTGCAAGCTCGTCTCAAATCTCTTCAGTCGAGCCAGCTCGTAATAAGGGAGGACGTCCCAAAGGTAGAAAGTCACGCGCACCAAAGATACCTAAAGGCCCAACGAGATTTCAAAAGAACCATCCTGTCAAGGCCAGGGTCAACATCGACGTCTGGGAGAACATTCTCTTGTTCTGTCCACCTGATTTCCTTTTAAAAGCTCGCACAATTTCTTCAACATTCAGATCCGTGCTCAGTGACGACAGCCTTATCTGGAAGAGAGCTCGTGTCAATCACTTCGGTCCTGATATGCCTGACCCACCTTCAGGCCTCTCGGAACCCCAATATGCAGATCTTCTTACCAGCACGGGCTGCCAGACGCGTGGCTGTGAGTCCAAAAAAACCAGAAAGACGTACTGGGCGTTTCAGAAACGATTGTGCATCGAGTGCTTCCAAAAATCTTTCCTTCCGGTGAGAACCTTGAGTTTGGGACTTAGGTTGGTAGTAGTTCATTGGGCTGACGTGCACCTAGCCCAGAGCACTTGGAAGGGTGTTCAAGGAACTTGAAACCAGCGAAACGCCCCAATACCGCTTAATTGCACAGTACTACCAGGGAATGGATGAGTTTCTTCCAGGGATGAAGTTTGACCGCTGGGACAACTATCAGTGGCTTGGCAGCTACGATCCTACGCCCTCGTGGGGCCAACTCCATAGAAGTGGTCAATACACCGCATATCCCGCAGCAGCTTACGCCAACTTCAGCTCAGAACTCGCACTTTTTGTGGGCAACGAATATGACGTGGAGTGTGGTCGATTTTCCTCCAACGAACCCATGCCTGGGAAGACTTGTCCTCCACAGGACGCGATTGATGCCTGGTTCGAGGAGAAGCGCGCTGCCAATGACGCTCTTGTGCCCAAGCTCCAGGCTGTGGAAAACTGGCACGAGTCTCACAAGCGCAACAACCAGAAGGTGGGCAAGGATCTCAGGAAGGACCGCGAGAGCTTCTACGAGGCCCAAGCGGAACTGGCCGGTTTGAACTCGTCGGTTCTTCAACATTTCAAGTCGTACCAGGCCGCGATCGCCATTTCGAAGCCGGCCTCCAAGCAGTCGTGGAACATCCTGCGACCAAAACTCATGGCGGAATTCGAGGCGACGAAGAAATTGCTTGCGGAGAGGGAGGGCGCGAAACAAGTGCAAGATGTCAATGCGATGGTGAGGAGGTATGGTGTTTGAAGCGAAGAGGCGGAGAGGAAGGCGGAGAGAGGCGCGGTCCTCGGAACGATACCCTAATACGATGCCCCATATCAAGAGGAGGAAACAGGACTCGATGCGTGTTGACCAAACGAATGATGAAAAGTTTCCGTCCCTCACTCCGTAACAGCGATCAGTAATGCCACGAGAGAAGAACTCATCGAGATGCGGCCGAGATCTGACGGACAGCTGGTTTCTGTACCCAAAATCATAGCCAGCGAATCACTTCTCGCATCCTTCGTACTGTACCTATCTTATCGTTTCAGCTTGCGTGCTGGCATCATACATTAGATAGGAAATATCCAATCGAATGATCATTGTGCAAGGCGTGTTGGCTGCAGGTGATGGTTCATGTGAATGTGGGATCAGAGACTGGGGGTATCTTTTCCTTGATGCCAGCTTGATCAGTCAGTACTATACCGGGTAAACGAGCCGATGTCTAGCTTTATGTATGGTAGAGTGTCTAGTTGATGATGAAGAAGCACTGAGCGATGGAAACGGCGTTTACGCAAGTACCGTGGCAGGAACGAGCAGTTTGCAAGGGAACAACAAATTCTAAGTCTAGTTCTAATGGCGGGCAGGGGGGTATGGGGTCTATGTCTACAGCCATCAGCAAGGACGCCGTCGCTCAAGATGCATCATCACGCTGCACTAGCCGCCGCGGCAGCGGTCTCCTTCACGCATCGACCGCCCTCGAGGCACCCAGTCTGATCAAGCCCCCGACGTCTTCAACGTCATGCGATCCTCCTCCTTGCTCTGAAAGGGCACCCCCAGCTCGAACAGCTTGACGATGACGTCGCTGAATTCCTTGAAGAACGCCCCGTCGTCCTTGGCGTATCTCTCCACATGCTTCTTGAAGCTCGTATCCTTGACGAGTGCCATGTCGGTCGGCAGCATCATGAGCGTCTTGCTCCCCGCATCCTCGTACTGCTTCGGTCCGTTCCACTTCTTCCAAACCCATTTCTCCCCCAGCAACAGCCGGAAATAATCGTTCGATACCACGGTCGGGGAAAAAGACCATGGTCCGTCGAAGCCGGAGCGGTCCGTGTGGCAGCGGCCGAGCGCGTGCGCACCGGATAGAGCGACGATTTCGCGGTCATCGAAGCCCATGCGGCCGAAGATGGCGCGCAGGTGGCTTTGCTCTTTTGCGCCGTCGGGTAAGCGGCCGTCGGGTGTGCACATGGACACGTCGCGGTCTGTGCGGCCTGGGCGCCAGGGGATGGAGGGGCCTTGCATTTCTTGGATGGCGCAGACGCCGGCGAGGGTCCAGAGGTCGGAGTAGGTTATCCAGGGGTGTTTTTCTGGGGGTAGTTAGAAGGGTACGGAGAGCTTCGAGGGGATGGTTGGGTACCTTTGACTGGTTTGAGGAAGTCACGGGCCGCTTTCAATCCAGCGTTTGCGCCATGGTCACCCTCGGGGGCGAAGCGCATGGTCGCGCCGTTTGAGCCGCCGGTATTGGTTTGCTTGTCATAGCTAAGGTTGCTTGTTAGCTTTCGGCTAGGAGGGACAAACACGCGAGACTTACGTTCCACTGCAATGCCACGCCAATCGAACAATCACCGGACCGTAACTACCATCATCATAATCATCCTTCTCCTCCAGCAGCTTGGCAATCTCATTGTACACCTGCTGATAGTCCTCCTTCTTTGGGGTGAACACGCCTCTTGTCTCGCCCGAGCTGCCCTTCTTCATGTCTGTGACGCCTCCATTGCTGAGATAGAAGTAGCCTGCGCCACCAGCTGCCGCGAGGGCAGCAAAAGTTACGTAGTAGCCGACTCGTGAGGCTGTGGCTTCGTTACCAGAGGCATAGCCGCGGCGGGAGGAGGATTGGAATGTCTGGCGTTGGAGGGAGAGGCGGGCGTGGTGTGTGGCGGTGAGTCGGAGAGTGGAGTTAGTAGGCGCAGTACGTGCTGTCAGACGCGTGAAGGTTCGGGCTGTTGCAGCCATTTTGGATGAGAGAGAGCAAGAATTGATGAGGTTGCGCAGGGTTCAGAGATATGTTGTATGTTGACGGAGATGAAATCCAATGACTCAAGAGACGGGGTTAAGAATCGAGGATATATGAAAGCTGTAAGGCTGGATTGATAATCTCTTGCCTCGAGATGATTGGAAGGACCCTTGGACCCACTTATCGAGATATGCCGGTCCGAGTCAGCGTACGTTTTCCGTTCCCTTCGCATATAATTAGGTAGTATCGTGTTTTCATATTGGACAGCTTCACCATCTTCTCTCATTTACGATGCTCCACTCACACTGCGATTATGCGTTGCAATTGCATTGTTCGCGTCGATAAAAACGATGACCACTTGACCAGCATAAGATGATAAAGTAAGGTAACCTTTTGGCATGCTTCCCGTCGTCCCGCCCGTTAGCTTAGCTTAGCTTATGCACTTGTGCAGGGACCGATCAGATCGACGCAAGGATCATGCCAACATACTGAAGTCTACTAGGTACCTTTCCTTTCTCTCTCCTTCTTCTCCTCTTCTCCTTTTCTCTTCTTCTCTTCTTCTCTTCAGTGTCAGCGTGTCTCTATGAGGACAGCAACTTATGAGGTACTCACTCGGAGCTATGCTACCAAGGACCTTTCGTCGTAAAAGACTCTGGTCCGATATGAGGACACCAAGCCTCTACGCAAAGTACATTGTATCCCGCTCATCTCAGGGTCTAATCCGGTACTCCCTCAGTACCATGGTAGGACGAGCGGGATACAAATCTGTCTGTCTTATTGGAGTGTTGATACATGAAATCTCACTATCCTCTCCTCTGGTCATCTCATAGTTAGCACTAAGGATGTCTAATTTTATCCCCCCTTCTTCCTCTTTAACTATAAGTTGTGAAGCATTATTCTTAGATCCACAGCATGGAATTTGATTTACACAATCCCTTTGCTGGTCTCCGGAAAGGTATCCACGATGGCCACTCGATTGGCAATGAGCGCAGAATGAGCCTGCGTTAAATTACACCAGCGTACATCTGGGACGATTAGCAGCTGTTCAATGTGCATTTCCACTGCTGCAGCAGTGTCTATCTAACTATGGTGCTTTCAGGAATTTAGCTTGGATTTCAGCTAACAAGCCTCCTTGACTCCGACATCATGCAGAACTTACTTGAATATAGGGAAAGTGATAAGTGAAGAGCCACAATGGAATTGCGCGATTCCTAGGACCCCAAAACTCCCAAAGGGCTCGGCCAAACCACGGAAAGACCTATGTGCCACTTGGTGGCTTCATACTCGGATGCCTGCGAGTATGATTGTGACACGCATCAGACTCTGTCGCTGTTGTTCTAACAATGTATAGTTCACAGTTACAGAGCAAATATTCTCCATATGGGGAAGCTATATGGAATCAATGTATCAGTACCACGTCTGAGTATTGCCTTGCAATGTCGAGAGTCGACTCTAGATTTCTTAGACGTCCGGCCCATAATTTGCCGAAAGTCAGCGACCCGCCCTTGTGCGTGATTTGAATCGGTGCGTATTAATCCGGATCGTTGTGGAAGAAGCCGTGCGTTGCCAGAAGACAATAGGAAGAACCACAAAGTTCTACAGGGTTCCAAGTGTGGACATCTGAAGTTCATAAGTCCTCACTGCTCCTCAAATCTCTTCGTCAGTATCATCTTAGACTAGCCCCAGAAACCCCTGTACCACTTTCATCCAGCTCAAAGAATGAAGAATGGCCAACTTCATGAGCCTTCCCCTCGAACTTCAGGATATAGTATACAAGTATCTACTTACTGAGGAGGTTCAGCCAACAGCTCACAAATACCCACACAACATACCCATCTGCAGTTCAAAGATGATCAGAAAGGAAGCTTACAAGGTCTACCTCTCCTCCAACAACATCATCTTCAACAACTCGGGCACAGCTTGTCTGTGGCTCGAGCACATCTCGCCATACTTCAGCACGCAAGAAGAAGAGCAACCCTTACACCTAACCTTTGACCTGCGTCATGATTGCAACCGACCTGCTGGGGAGAAGAACACACAGGAAGGGGATCAGAAGCGCCTCTTCCACCTGCTCGGCCAGCGTACGAAGCTGGATCTGACACTTAGGTCCGGCGGCCATCTTGTCGGAGACCTGTATCGTTTCCGTGCCATGGATCTTATGCACGGCTTCGCTTCGGCGACATCATCACCGGCCCCAGCGGTTGACGGTAGGTGCGGAGCTCATCGCCATCTTCAACAGTCTTCCCATCATCCGAGCGAGCGTAAGGCTGTGGCGAATGTGATGAGCATCGCGGATAGACGGGCTATAGCCTATAAAGGGCTGCTGGACAACTTCACCTCTGCCTGTCCGGCTGGTTGCCAGCATTTGGCGGGTGGGAGGGCACGGGACAGCAGGTCGACGATTCATCTCGACGTGCGGGGGCTGAAAGGTGATCCTACAAATTGCTTCATTTGCTTCACAAAGGGAGTATGAAAGAGGATGGGGTTTGCAAAGGAAATTGGAAGGGTATGGAAGTTAGGTTCGCTGAGGGTATTCAATGGCTTCCACATGCTGTAAATTCCTCTTTCTTGTGCTCGTAGCTTTCTACATCGTCTGAATTTCATTTGATAGCTCACACTACGGCGGACGAAAGCTACTGCTAGGATAAAACCAATCTATGGTTCCTTTCCTCTTCTTTTTTTGCGACTGTGCCGGGATACCTCATCTACTTATTTCTATCGTTCGAGATCGATTCTTTCTATCTACTGATCGTGTATAGCTTTGACACGGGGATGTCTGCGCTTGATGATCTGATCACCTTTATCTGGATCTGTGTTCGGGGCTATCAACCTCGATTCTGGCAATTATCCCTCCCTCTGTGGAGCTCGTCCACGAAGCTTTGAGAAAGTATCGCCGGTAAACATCGCGCCGTACAAAGCGCTCTGCACCCCCAATCGAGCGATATTTAAGGGTGGATTACCCGAAATAAGGTGTGAATATTGCCTGTATATGAAGATAAGGTAGCCCTTGCCCGCCGTATCACGTCTCTCATGTGTGTTGTTAAAAATCACCACTAGCTCCCGCTCCGGTAAATCCATCAACACACGAAATCGCTCAACACTAGCCTTCCGCCATATATGTACCAATCCGACACCGGCCGTTTTTCTCACGCAAAGCAGCTCCGGCCATGACATCCCCACCACCCACGCCCGCTCGCCTCACGACCCAACCGCCGATGGATCCACGCATGGAACATCAGGACCTTCTGCAGAACTTCCGCTTCACCGACCTCCCTGCCGAGATTCGCAACCAAATCTATCGCTGCATCCTCATCCGCCACAGGCAACCCGTCAGACTCAGCAGACTCCACGGGGGACCGACCCTCGACGACCTGGCTGTCGTCTTCACCAACCGCCTCATCTACTCCGAAGCGATGCCTGTTTTCCTCTCTGGGAACGCCTTCGCCATTACAGGACAACGCAAGGAGCACACCTGGCTGCGCCGAATGCGCCCCGAAGGTATGTACCTTTTCGGGGTATATCTTTCCTGTTCGGTAGCACATTGGGCCACATTCCAGATAATTTTCTTATTACCTAGGAGAAAGCCATCTTGCGGCAGCGAAAGGATACTTTCTGCTCTTCAAACCTGTCCCGTTTTTCCGTCATTATGCCCAAAGAGAACCACACTAACTCCGAACCCTGCGCAGGACGCAGTGAGCTCCGCAACCTCACACTCGTGGTCGACGCGTACGGGCGCAACCACGAATTCAGCCTCTACAACGCCTTGTCCCTGTGCCCGCAGGTGCACCTGACGCTGATCGTCCGTCCGACCTCCTTGGCCGAGGCGGCGCTGGACAAGAAGGGCAGTCTGCGCAACATGCACGGGTTCGCGGCCGTGACTTCGGACGCGCTGCCGGAGGAAACGGATCTCTGCCCGCACCATCGCCGGCAGGGTGTGGCCGCGGGCTCGGAGGCGACGCAGCGGCGGGATCGCATGAGACGGTTTGAGCTTTTGCTGCGCCAGTTCGGGGCTCCGTGCGCGGGCGGGTGCGGCAGGGTGCACAAGGGGCGAGAGGGGACGCATACGCAGGCTACGATCCATGTCTCGTTCGAAGGGGCCGTCTCTAATCTAGGCTGTTATTACTGTTGCTAGAGGTCAGTGATTGGCTTCCTTTTGAGGTCTTCGATAGGATTTGAAACTGTTTGTTATTTCTTTACAAGAGGGGTCAGGGAAGCATGTCCCATCAGAAGAGAAACTGACCGAGGCTACGTCCGTAGACCTGGAGCGGTCTGAGGTCTTCGATGGAGACGAGTCAGTTGTGAAGGAGGTTACAATTCTTGCGCTTTGCGCTTCCAGTCTCAGCACGTGACGTTAGCCTAGCCTTTTATGCACTAGTGTTCTACTCATCTCTGACACTTGTGGTCGGGGTGTTATTCCTTAATGGATTCCTAATCGCGCTGGTACAATGGTGTAGTGGTTTTGTGCTTTATAAATGCCTTTCCCCAACGAGCCCGCCGTGGCCCCAATCGAGTCAAAGTACCTGGGACACCGCGATCTCACATCCACACGATCGGTATCCAAGCTTCGGTCCTCACATGCTTCCGTATCCCCAGGTAATGTATTTACGAAAAAAATAATATAAACCCCTCTTCCCCACCACCTCCATCCCTCAGCCTTCAGCGCCACACCTCAGGACCCAAACTGGACCAAACCCGCTGTCTACCTCTACAATGTCGCCGGATTATCCCTCCACGGTCCGAAGAGAAGATAGATAAGATACCTCAGGTACCCTACCCACCTCAGCGTCCCCCGGGCTACCGATCTTTTCACACACCCCCAAACTGCAACACCCACCTGCAATTCGGATCTCTGGCCGTGACGGATTTCACACGTGAGGGGTTCCTCCGAACGTCTTAACCGGTAGAGTACCTTGAGCCGTCGACGACCCTTGCCGGGGGACCTCGACTCCCGACTCCATCCTATCGCAACGGGCGCAAGGACTCCAGCTGCGAAACGAGGAGGCTGTGGGGAGGACCGACGACGCGCACACGCGTCGCAAAGATGGGAACGCTACCTTTTTCCACGGCGGTGGCCGTCACCGGTGCCTGATCGGACGCTGGGCCCGCCCGACGCGGATTCAGGTGGGGCGAGATGAGATATGGATGTTTCGAGTGATTGGCGTAGAAGGGGAGTCAAGTGGCATGAGGGCATTCGCTGGACGTGCGGCGAGAATTTGGACGGTGTGTGCAAGGCCATTCTAGGAGTATAGTGACATGTCATCTCATACATCGTGCATCGTAACCCTATTGATAATCTTTAGACGATTCATTGAAAATTTCATCCGCGATCGCGATTATTCTATGTTGAAATCGAAACCAAGCCACCATGGTGAGGATTTCAATCTCATCACCGGGTATAAAAAATCTGCAACGCTGAGTAGAAGTGCCTGCGCGCAACAGCAATTATTCTATGTTGAAGTCGAAACCAAGCCACCGTGGTGAGGATTTCAATTTCAGCACCGGGTATAAAAAACATTCTGCAACGCCGAGTAGAAGTGCCTGCCCAATAAAGGTTTTCCTACGCCCATTGTCCTTACCGTATATACACAGGCAAATTTTCGTTCTCCAGGTCGTGGGCGCTCGATGGCCCTGAGTCATGCATATCGTTAGAAAGCTGCGGGTTAATTTCATTAGGTACTAGAGCCGACGGCTCCCTGGAATGAGGTTGGTCCGCCAGAACTTGAGGCACACGGGGATCGTTGATATCAAACATATCATCTTCATAAAGCACTGGAGCACTAGGCTGAGGGATTCGTCCCTCATGTCCCACTGCGGCAGCTTCAGCACCATCACCCGTGTCAGGAGCACTAGCCCGTGCCAGCAATCGTTGACGCTCGAGCTCCATCTTGTCGTCTTGAGGCTCGTCGTATGCCGGTGCTGGATGGTCCGGGCCGTACCTTCGAATGAAATCTTCTTCATCAATAGCCATAGGAGCCGAAGGGATTGGGGCTGCTGAAGAAGCAGGTTCGTCGTCCTGTGGTGGGGCGCTGGGGAGAAGTCGTTCTTCTGCTCTTCGTAGTCTGCCTTTCTCGTCGAGGTCTTCTTCGTTCTTAATTGGCGGTATGATCACCGTTGGGTGTTGCTCTAGGGCAATAGCGAGTTGGCAAGGACTGTCACGTACTTCGACATAGCTTTCCGGACGTCCAGGATCAACATCTTGGTCTTGGGTACTCTCGACACCAAGAACTGCAGACCCCTTCAATGACCTGTCCTCGTCCACAGCTGACTGGTCTTCCCTTTGCTTCCGACGCTTTCGTGAGCTGTCTTTTGTGCCTACTATGATCTCCGTCCGAGTGAAGACCACGCCTTTCGTCCTTCGGAGTTGATCCGTAACAAGGTAATTAAATCCAGGAGTTGCCGCGTAGCTGACACCGTCTGAACCCTCGATCCTAGTCATCTTTGCGTCACCATACCCATGCTGAAGGCCACTTGTCATACTCAAATGTGGACGAATGCGGTCCTGGCCTCCTATCTTCGCGCGCAGATCAACCACTATCTCAACATAGTATTTGAAGCTGACCATTTCGCCAGGTACGCAAGTGATTGTTGGGAACAGGTGCACGGGAGCTTGTATTGATGTGCTGATGACAGCGGTGAGAGACTGCGGATCGACGATGACGGGTGCGAATATTTGGTTGAGATCTTGTCGGAAAGATCTGCTTGAGCCGGCCGAGGTCAAGGATAGACCGCCAAGCCCCGTGAATGATTTAGGGTAGTAATCCTCATACTTTGGTTTCTCGCCTCGTCGCTGTGGGCCAAGTGGTATGGCCGGATGGGTATCGATCCGCCCTTGACGGTACAAGGTAATGATGATGCCTTGCATACTCTTGACGGCCGTGTTGTGTTTGATCGAGATCCGCACGGGAAATGAGTCACCAGCCAAGCAGCCTCCTTGTAAGACCTCGATCTTTGCGGATATAGTGGTCGGAGAGGGGTTGAGGATAGTATCTTCTGCACTTTCGATAACAGTATGTATAGGCGGTGTCACCGAGCCAGTCATGTTGCTCGATCTGCTGTCAGTGGTAGCAGCGGAACTGAATTCACTTGGCACTGGACTTCGTGGGGGCTCGTAGTCAATTTGGTGACTGTCGGAGTGCTCGTTGTGCTTGCCACTAACTGAGCTGGCCGGGTCCGAGTCCTCTCGTTCTCGTGATCTGGCCTTCTTCTTCTTCTTGCCTGCCTTCGATTTCCCCCTCTTGTATCCCACGTCCATCGAGACCATCTCAGCCTTTGGCTTAGGGATCAGCGAGATATCAACGGCCTCCAGAAAGCCAAGCTTTCGGTGTTGCGAAAAGGTTGGTGCGATGGTCGTGGGGCGCGTCACTGTCGACGTGAGTAGGTAAGATATGGTACCGTGTTCGAACTGTTGGGCGTCCGCGAGTTAGTAGACTACTTAGGTTGTGAAATCTGGAGACGGGGCAAGGCGTTGGTACTCACATCGATACCGGACGGCATGCCCTTTGAAGGGAGAACTATCTCAAAGCGGAATTCATATTGGCCCAGGACTCGGCCTTCGCCACACAGCACGATTTCTTTTTCAAATAGTCGTGCGAAGCCATTTCCGAAGTACTCAATGCCCCGCCTACCTCTACCCTTTTCCAAGGCCATGAGCGCTTCATCGTAGCTTATGGACTCGCCCGGAAGCTTTGCGCGATTCGATACTTTGACGAAGCCATGTAGCCGTATGACGAGGTGGGTGATGCGTTGGGACTTAGCAACATTCATATGTACTGCTCCTTTGACGGCATCACCAGACGAATACTGTCGGAATGGTTCATCAAGCCGGATGTCTTGCTCCAACGGATTGCGCTGCTTGGAGTGGAATGGGGCGGTACACTTTGCCAGAAGAGATGCGTGTTTTGTGCGCTTCTGACTTGTTTCTCTCTTGATGTTCTGGGACGCCTTCATCCTCGATTCAGCGGGAATCCGAGACCATGCGGCTGCTTATCGGCCTGGTGCTTCCGCCCCAACCGTGTTTTAGACGTCCAGTGATACTTCTGTAGGTGCAACATGGTCAATTCAAGTGTTCTGGCTGAGTATATCAAACGATGGAGTATTCCAGGAAATAGCAATATAATGAGACAAGGCCGGGACTCGTAAGGTTGTATCACGACATGGCCATGGTACATGGTGGTGAGATTGTGGAGGTGTGCAGGAAGGGAAGGCTCGACGGCGAGGCAGTCAAGAGCACCAACGCACATCTATAATGACTGCTGAAGGCGTAGTCTGCGATGGAAAGCACATACATGAATGCGATCTTGTCGCGACAATGGGAAAAGTCCCTTGCCGATGCCAAGAGCCAAGCAGCCAAGATCCGTCCAGCACGTAGGCGGCTGATCTAAAAGGCTTGGTTTCGCTATTTTGAATCTTCGAGTCGCTGCATCGCGTGATAGTTTGCGGAGCTGTATTGGACAGATAACGATCAAGTATTTGTTTGTGTAAGCGATCAATCATCGCCCTTTTGATGGCCCTGATATACAGATGGATGATTGAATCATGGGAAAATGGGGAAAACTTGGAAGGAGGGAGGACAGAAGCGAGGGGAGAAGACGGACTCGATTGGCTATGCCTGCTTAGTAATCCCTCTACCAACCGTTTCGGCCGTATGGATGGCATCCAAACGTGCTGTCTCGAGTTTTGTGTGGGTTGATGGAAGAACAAGAAAGAGCAACGGCGGGGAGCTCTAGGGACTCCGGCAGATTTGAGGCGCTTTAATCTACGGTGCCTCTTGTCGAGCTGAATAGAGCAGAAGTCTTGCTTTTGATTGCCTGCTTATGCTTTTCAATTACCGTTTATACATTCGCTTTTCAGATTCTTGAATCCTTCCGATCGTGAGTATAGCCTCTTGCAATGCCACTTCTGCCTCGCTCTATGGCGGCTCCTGCATCTTCATATGCAATCTCGAAGTCACTTCCAAGCCCCTTCCATATCCTCTTCGATTTCAGATACTCGGCCCCAGGAGAAGTCTCGCCGCCGACAACAGCCAGGTCACCTTTGGCCCGCCTGACGAGGGAATCGCTGGGCGGATTCTTGCCAGTAGATGCATTCAAATGAGACGTCCGCATGGGCCTCGTATGAGAAACATAACGTCCAGTCCGTAGATCATAGTCTGGCGGCGCGGACTCCTCTTCTGAGTCAAGCTCACTACCATTCCTGTCATCACTCTCGCCATCTGTCTTGAATCCATTGCCCCTCGCAGTATCATCTTCAGGCTGAGTCGACTCTTGCAGTATGCTCTGAAAATCACTGCTCCACTCTCCAGTCCAGACTCGCTCACTATCTCCCTTCAATGCCAGCTCCAGCTCAAATGGCGTCAAGACGGGCTTCCAGAAATCTTTGCTATCAATCAAAGAGCTCTCCCAACACCCAATAACAACCCACGCGCCGATCTCACTGAAGTTAGCTACCTTTGCTGCGTTCACTTTGCCGACTACAAAGGTGTAGCTTTTCTTGCCTGCGGCCTGTATTTGGGACTTGACGTGCTCAACAATGTGCATGTAGTTCCTTACGCTTAGGGTATTGATCAGGATTCCAACAATAGAGGCAGTGCTAACAGATGTCAACAGAGCGTATCTTCTATTCAGCGCCCGACTTGTTGATGCCAAGAACGGTTCGCGATTGCGCTCGTCATCTATCCTAGAGGTAGGATAGATACGGATGCTAGCCAAACGGGAAGCTAGAGTAAGCAAAAGTGATTCTGGCGGATCGGAAATGTGAAAGAGCTGCCAATCTTTGAGCTTGGAAGGATCAGCCTTTACTTCGTTTGGAATGGTGCGATTTGGTAAAGGCGAAGAAGGATCATGCATTATATTTGTCATGTAAAGGTTGCTATATCCGCGAGATTGCAAGACTGCTGCTATTCTCTCTAGGTGATCTTGATATGTCACGTCTGCCGTAAGAATGACCTTCGCTCGGCGGTCGACATAGAAGTCCTCGAAATCCTCAAGAAGGCTGGATTGGTCTTGGAGCTGCTGAACGGTAAAGATATGGATGACTGGTATCCTGACAGTAGGTGACAAACAAGCTCGGCCATAATGTACAACAGCATCAGCGCTTATGTGCTCAGCCGCGATCTCATCGACACAGCAAGCTCCGTAGGAAGTATCAGCAAGTATATATAGTCTCACCGCAGGTAGCTTTTCGGACGTCATGCTCAGCTTCTCCACACCGTTAACAAGCCCCTGTGAGTCAAATAATTGAGTTCTTTGCTGATCTGAAGATGACGTGGTAGGATCCAGGCCTTTGCTCAATGCCTCGAAGACTCTTGGTGCATCTGGCAGCATGATATCCGGAAACTGCAAAGCTACTCGGGAGATTTTTTTTTTTCTAATCTCAGCCACTGTTCGCTCTATTTCGTATATAACATAAAGCTGCTCATTCGAGAGCCTTAAACCTGAATTTTCGACAGACACCGCCGGCTGCTTCTCAAAGATATGAGTGGCGGGAGTTGACAGAACTGGAGGCGCCTCTGGTTTTGTCATATTGAGAACTAAAGAACACCAGGCCTATATTTTTGGCTACAAGATGATTTCGATCTTGTGTCTTCCCAAACGTTTGAACCGTGACACAAGAAAAGAGTAGATCTCTAATCGTAGTCTCAATCAATAGGGTTGAAAATAAGATTTGATAGCGGAAATCCGCCGGCGCAGGGGAGCCTTGCCTTAATGATCCATAGGTACTTACCGAACGAGCCCGCTCGTCACATCTACCTAAAGCTTTGACAGTTGATGCAAATTTGATAGCCAGCTGGCAACGTATCATCATCCCCCATTTTTGATCTTCGCTCTTCAGCACTCGCAGTCCGAAACCCCCATCTAATCAACGTCAATTAAGGACCCATCTTATTCTGGATGGACACATGGCTGGTGACGCCTCTTCGCGCCTCCGAGCTTTTCGGGAAAGAAGCTCCTCCAGCACCTTTCGCCCACGCCAACGGCAACAGACCTCCTTATCCAGGTTCGAGCAGATCATTTGCTCGCATCCACCAGTCTTTGAGTCCCTTCTCCTTCAGTTACCAACATCGTCAATCCTAGACTTATACCATACGTCAAACTACCTCCGGTTGTTTTTGCAAGGCTATCCCACAGCATGGAACCATCTTTCTTTCCGGTCTTTCAGCCCTGGAAGACTTGCATCCAGGCAGGCGTCACCCGCAAGTGACAGCTCTGGTGAGAGCTCAGCCGTTCAGTCAAAGCCATACGCCCTGGACCAATTGCTTATGGCCATTGTCCTTCCATTTGGCACTCGACTCATATCCTTAGACCTCGATCATACTGCTGTTGCGGGGGATACCTTGACATCAATTGTCCTACACAGCCGGCGAGAGACCTTACAACATCTTTCTGTCCGTGGTTGCAAGCAGGTGTCCTTGAAGTACAACATTATGCCATTCCTCACTCTCTTTAGCCTCCAAAAGTCCGCTAGTGAGTTCCAAAACTCAGGACCGGTACCCGGCCTGGCACTACGAAGCCTCTATGTTTTCCGCTGCAGACACCACAGGCATCGGCCTTACACGCCAGCCTCGCTCATCAGAAAAGACTCTGACTCAGTCCACACACACGATCTTATCAAGATATGTTACGACTTGGGAATTTGGACGGACACGGCTTGGTGTCCTACACCCGGCGGAAGATGTTTGAAACGGAAGGACTACTCAGTAGGGAGAGGAACTCCAGATGCTCGGACAGAGGTATGGGTGGTCTACGATCGGTTATGGCGCTCAGAAAATCGACTCGGGCCCGCTGTGTACTCCGAAGAGGCCAGGCCTAGGAGCACTAGAGGGCAATTGTGGGAAGACACGGAGTCCGGCTACAACGGCGAGCCGTTGGGCTGCGAACCACAACAAGGGCACGGCGAGGGGAAAACTCAAACCACACATTTACGTCAGAGTCACCGAAAGTTCATCGAGAATATTATATGTCAGGACTGTAAAGCTCAGATCCCTGAAAGATGCGAGCATTGCAGCATAAGAATGCACTGCATGGGCTGCAGGAAGACTCTTTGTGAGAATTGCGCTTTTTCTCGCCATCTACCACCGGCCAAATCTCCGAGAAGCACAATATCGGAGTCAGGCACTGGGGATGAGACAGCCAAAGAGCCATATTGGTGGGCCCCTGGTCAGATGCGAAATCCGAATCTTATGATGCAAGAAGTCGTACCCAGCAACAGTGCTGAAAATAGCAACACCCCAAATAGCACTGTCACTCCAGCTCTGAAAATGCAGTGGTGTTGCTTAAAACCCATGTTCTCAAATGGTGGTAGTATAACTTTTGTCGGACCTGGAATGACAGGTTCGGCCATCAATCACGTCCATACTGCTCCACTTCCACCAGGCCAGGGCTACGAAGACGCGGAGTTGAGCCGCCTCCGTCAATCCCACAAGACATCAGGGTCAGTGATTGACTGCCCCGTTCTTCCGGGATGTTCCCCAAGGCTGAAGCACTACCAAATGCTACATTGGCTTCTGTACGGAATGGGGAGCGAAGACCAAAACCCATGCCCTCGAAGTCTTTGTCATGATTGTTGGCAGACGCCAGGATGGAGAGCGGCCTGTCAAACCTGTAAGGAACCTTTCTGTTTTGCACATGACTTGCGCGGTTTGAGCATGCGAATCTGTGGCTATAAGGACCTCAGCACCGAAAAATCATTCCTGGAAGCGAATTCGAACTTCAGGAAAGTACTAGAAGCTTCAGAAAGCTCCACCGTTGCACTCAACACTGCACGGGAAAAAACCAAATGCACAATCCGCGAATATCTGAATGTTCTCTCGAAATTGCCAGAACTGTCACGGAGCTTCAAAGATAAATATGCTCATTTGCTGGATTCATCCCAGAGGGCCGCGTCCGACACCTTGGTACTAAGACCCGAGGTATTACTCAGTGAGGCAGCAGGCGAACTCAAAGAAACGTCTTACGAGGGCGAACTTTTGAAAATGCTCGGTTTGATAATGTCCACACCCATGTCCAACACAGACGACGAGAGTACGGAACCTCAACTCAACAACTCCTGGCTGGGCTGCGGCTCGTTTCTTTGTCCCAAATATCGCTCCATCGGTGACCATCGGCCTCGCTGTACAGCCGCTGCTCAACAATGCACGTTGTGCGAAGTCCACGTGTGTCCAGATTGCCTCGCGCAGTATTCGCGTTGCGACTGCGCATATTGCAAGGACCACTACAGCTGCCCGAATTGCGTCACGACGCTGGGAAGTCTGTGCAAGAAAGCTGAAGAAGAAGAGGAAGCTAGGCGCAAAATTAGGATACGTGAAGAGCGGCACGCGCAGTGGAAGCATCAGCTGAAAGAGGCCAATGACATGGCCGAGCTGGCTCGGGACTTTTTGGCGCGAGACATTTTGCAGTCGATGCCAACGGTAAGTCAATCAGCTACGGTCACGATGCATGAAGAGGCCCTGGCAAGGCAGAATATCGGAGAAGCTGGCGGTTGATGTATAATGGCGACAGGGTCTGGTTCAGCTCAAGAAGCCACGAAATTCTTTCGGAAAGGGGGTTAAATTTAGCAAGGTGTTTAGGTGCTAGCATTGCTGCATCATGGCCACGAAAAGCTAGCATTAAGTATTGGTGAAGTGTGTAATTCACTTGTATAATAACGATATCGTGCTTCATATAGGTTGAGGAAGGGTTACTGTATCATAATGTCATGGCGAATTAGCTATGATTGTAGCTCAAGGTATTAAAAATACGTTAACTATATACGTCTCTCGAAAGCTCTTGTTGAGTCTACGTTAGTGGTCGAGTGGTCGAGTGGTCCTCAAAAATCGGACCGCGAGCTGATATTTTAGGGTTTTGTACTAGCGCCAGAGCTAAGTGGGACCCCTAGGAGCGCTAGCCGCTCAAAATGTAAACAAACCTCGAGCATCACACACTTTACACGCACTTCATAACTAACATTGCATTCACCACAGTATGAATTCGATAATGAAAATCCTCGGACTATAGACGCATCGGTTCTTTCCGCTAACAACGCTCATCTTGCTCCGCCGAGCTTAGGAGCATCGACCGCGTCGAGAATTACCCAGTCGCACCAACAATAAACAACAGCCATGACGGGACCCACAACCTCCAAGCAGCGCACCCAGTTGATACGCGAAATGTCCAAAGATATGAACAGGACGCGCAACTCATCAGGATCTTCTCAACATTCGCTAAATCTCGCGAGTCCGCAGCCCACCGTCTCCGACTTCGACCCTGAGAACGAAGCCATCATGTCGACTCGTCAGCTCGACAATAATGCGCAGCAGCTTCCTGACCTTCGTGCAAGTGCAAAGAAATACAGTCGCTTCGCTCGACCCGAACCGGACTTCGCCATCAACACCTCGGCAATTGGTCGAGCGTTTCCTGATTTCTCCCAAGGCGGCACCTCCTCGGATGATGATAGTCCGTCGATCGAGATTGGGCGAGGTCTCAAGAAAGGGAGCAATAGCAAGGCGGGACGGATCAACGAATACTCTTCAAACGCGCAATTGAGCCTTGATGGAGAGAGCATGGATTTCTCTGCGCCAATGATTGGTAACTATGAGGTCACAGGTACCCCCCCGCTCGCGCAACGACAGTTGTCTAAGAAGAACAACGAAACTCCTGGTGGTTCTGTGAAACATGATGGACAGGTGCGTAGGCCATCTGGCTTACAGAAAGAGATTACTGGACCGTCACCGCCACCGTCCAAGACAAAGGATTACGGATCTGGGGAAAGCAGGAAAAAAGGTGAAGAGAGCCGTCGCACACTGTCTTCAATGCACGCTCGTGTGAGAGACGAGAACGAGCGATCTAGACTCAGCGAGGAAAGGCCGCCAACGCTCGATTTGACAGCAAGGAACACCCGATTTGGCAACGTGAAGGACCAGCACGCTGCATCGAATGTTGTCATGCCGAGCAAATTCACTTCGAGGCAAGGCTTGCTACAATCTCTCGCCCCAAAAAAGATACAGAATTCGCAAACTGTTGCAACCCCTCACGGGACTCAGCAATCTTTCATGTTGCCCGATTTACCAAATATATCCGAGTTAGTCTCGGGCGTTTACGAAGATGGTACTCCCGTGTTCACACGGCACGGAAAGTCACGAGCTTCCCGTTTTTTCTCAGCTTCAGGACAAACTAGCAAAAGCCAAAATTACACTGGAGTCAATGAGATACCGATACCGGCTGATGAACAGGCCATCTTCTTGTCGCTGAAGCTTCTTCAGGACAAGGTCGCTACCTTGGAGAAGGCCAATGCCGAAGCTGAGAACGCTATTAATGATCTGCAACAGAAGAACCGAGTGTTGGAGCGTGAAAAGATCGACAGAAGGAGAGCGCCACGAAGTGATAGTGCTTTAGGTACAACGGATAGCGATGGTGGTACTGAGATTCGTGGCAGTCAACGTAAGCTTTTGATCGAGAAAAACCGTAAGTGGGAATCAATTAGATGAGATAATTATTGGCTGACAGTCTTTAGGCTTGGAGTCGTCTGTCCGTGCACTTCAAAGTCAACTGGATCATTCGAATCGAAAAACCTCCACCGCCGAGACAATTCTCAAAAACATCACGCAAGAGCGTGACTCAGCCGTTTCTCAATTAGGCGTCGCGTACTTCACAATTGAGCAGCTCAAGGTTGAGAATGAAGGTCTCAAAGGCGAGAACAACGAGCTGAAGACTCGTCTTGGCCAGTTGAGCAATGAAAACGAAACTCAAAAGTGGACAGCCAAGGAGGAAGCTCTACGACGAAAGCTCGACCGGAGGACAGAAACATTCCAGAGTATGATAGAAGAAAGTGGAGTGCATCCTCCTAAGCTGCAGGAAAAGAATGTTCCTGAAGCTCGTCACACTGAGGGTACCGAGCGGAATGCAGGATCTTCTACCCATAAAGACGCAAACACTTTCTATCTTCCAAGTCGAAAGGGCATTGATGAACCTTTTAGAGGCGGGCAGCGGCCTGCTCAGATTGACGACTCCCAAGATAGTGAAGACTCTGTGTATGAGGCCCGCAAAGCGGAAGTAAAAGGCAAAGTCTGGTCACCTCGCAGCGCAAAGAATGCTCAAGGCGGCGAGACTTCGCAAAACGTGACATACTTAAGCTTCCTTGAGGTGAAAAGTCCCCCCTTATGCTTTCGCGGCAGCCGCTGACATAGTGGATCACAGAGCGATGAGATTGCCACGCTAAGAAAGACTCTGGAGCAAGAGCGTATGCAGCGCAAACAACGCCGAAATAGAGTCCATCAATCGGACGACAAGAATGACACTAATACACAGACAGTTCCACCAGAAGCACAGGCGGAGCAGGCTCAACAGATCTTTCCTCGCAAATCATCAATGAAAGACCCGACATCCAGATCCACGAATCGGAAAGATGCCACCGAGCCTTCCCTTCTTCCTGGCGCGCACCCCGAGCACAACCGTCGGCACTCCGAGGCTTCGATTTTAAGTATGCGTAGCCGACGCCGTGGCTTAGACGTCGAGAATATGACTTCTGCTTTCATTGTGCCCGATATCACCATCCGTAACCCAGGGATCGACTCTCAAGCTGTACCAAACATGACAAAAGAAGCTCAAGATGTTCTTCATGGGCTTGCGGAGCATGGCGGCCAGAATTGCACAGTCTGCACACGCGCGATCAGCCACGATGTACATCATGAGCATGGGGCGACGGTGAGAGAGGCAATCAAGATTCCCAAGCCCGTTCCTGTTTCGGACCGCATGCCGAAGTCTAGTCCATATGAAGAAGAACCCACAATCCGCCCAGCTCAAACGCCAGGTCTCGCTCTCGCACTTGTCATCAAGGGCCTTGACGATGAGCTTGCCCATCTCAAAATTGAGCTTGCTCGATATCAAGCTCTTTACAATGGCCACGACCCTGCGCTCAGCAAGCGCAAGCGCAAGTCGGTATATCACAAAATTGAGACCTTGCTTAAAGCTATTGAATTGAAGGCAGACCAGGTTTACGCACTTTATGATGTGCTCGAGGGCCAAAAGCAAGATGGCCATGAGATCAGTGAAGAAGAAGTTGAGATTACTCTACAGTCAGTCGGCATCAACACTACTGGCCTGCATCTTAGAGGAGGTGGCGCAGGCGAGGAGCAGCAGGATGGGAAGGAGAAGCTATCTGAACGCCAGCCATGGGATCTGGATAGTGATGGCGAGAACGTCGATGATTTGCCTTGGGAGGGCTTCGAGACGACTGTGGAGACTGCGAAGAGCGGGTTTGCTGGACGAACAAGGAGCTCAGATGCTTGAGTCACGAGCTTCTCACTAGACAGTTTCGCATGCAACAAATGTCCTTCCATTTTCAGCTCTGATGACGCATTCATCTGCGCCTATTCATATACCTTCACACTCTCGCCATACTCCGATCACGCCTCCTTGTCGCAGCAGAGTTCCTAATGTTGACTGACTTCGGTGTATGTCCATTAGTTGAGCTTTGTCTGTCCGGAGAGCGGCTTGAACTGAGATGATAATTTTGCGGCGACTGAATGATGTGGAAAGAGATCTCCGTATCGACTGACTCCACGGAGTGTTCATGTCTGCGGATCGAGCTCTTCTTGTCAGCATCTGCTGTCGAAACACTAGCTGGGGTCTTTGCATTCGTCTTGTACGAGCTTCGGGGTCGGATTTCTCGTCCCGTCATGTTTTGCATTGCTTACGGTCGTTGTTCGCTAAGAGATGGTGGGATCTCGGCGTTCGTGGAATTAGACAATTGTGCTTAATTGGATGACAAGGGACTCTTTAGCGGATGATACGAAAGCTTTTCCAAATCAATCCGTGCTTCATGCATCATGCTTCCAAAGGGTATCATGTATCTCCTAGTATCCAACGCCAGCGCTATGCTCTGCGGGAGTCTATTCCCTTTCTCAAAGCACATCCCCATCAACCCCTTCGCCACCGCCACCGCCGGCCGCCGCTGCACTCGCAGTCCCCACCCCTTTATCCGCCATTTCCTCCCTTTCCCTAATCTCATCTTCAACGAAGACCCCCAAGCCCCCAAACGCCTCCATCATAGCCCTAGCACAATATTCCCTCACGTCATACCCCCCAGCCGTAATCTGCGCGTCGCTTCTCGCGTTGTCCAACCACGAATGCTCATAATGGTCCCGCAGATAATAATACTCATGCTTGATCACATACCCGCCAAAGGGATCGTATTCTTTCTCTGGCGCGGGTTGGACGACGCGTTTGAGCCCTTGGATCGAGAAGAGAGGGGCGGCGGCGCCGTTGTCGACTTTGGCGGCGGCTTGTTGGCGGGACCTTTCGGCGGCCGTTCGACGTGCCGTGGATTTCTTGAGGACGACCTTTTGGGTTTCGCGGGCAATGGTATCTGCATCCCCGTCGCCCCTCGCCATCATATCGACCATCTCCCTCCTGCCCTCTTCCTTCTCCCTGCGCTCGTCCAGCTCTTCGTTCCGAGCCGCCTCGCGCCGAAGACGCGCTTGTTCCCTTTGCGCGGCGAACTGGGCCTCCGTGTTTGCGTTTTCCTGCGACTCGATCGCGGCGTTTTGCTTGATCTCTTGCTCGTTCTGCCTCTTGTACGCATCCAGCTTCTTCTCCGTCTCCTTCACGTCAACCCCCTGCAGCAAATTCCACGTCAGGTTCTCCACCTCCTCCAGATAATTGTTCCAGTCTCTCAGGCTCTCAAACTCTTCCTCCCGCTTGTTGAACACCCCCGCCACCCTTCTCCTTATGTCGACTTCGCGCTCAATGTGCAGATCCTCGAAGGTTTGCCTGCGGAAACGGGCTTTGCGTAAAGTGCGGGCGCAGCCGGCGACGGGGCAGGGGGCGGGGCCGTGGGAGAAGATTCGGTCGACGCAGGATTCGCACATCTTGTGGTAGCATTCGGGGTTCACGAGGAAGCGCATGGATGGGTTGAGGTAGCGGGAGGATTTGCAGACAGGGCAGATGTCTGGGGGTGTGTTCTTGTCAGCGATTGTTTAAGTGCAGAAACAGTCGGTTGGAGACTTCTCACCATCTTCATCTCCTGGGCGACGTGGAGCAGCTCCATTGCGGGCGGGTGCTCGCGACATAGTTTGTGACTGAGACTGTGAACGACAGGAGTTAAGTCACCGTCAATGGCTTTGTATTGACTGTAAGGCTGACAAATCTTGGCAGCGGAAATTGTTCCGCACCTGGAGCCTATATCTCATCGACGGTTATATTTCACCTTTACATATTGTAAATATGGCAGAAAACGGCATGAAAATAAGAGACAGCTTAGCCGATCTAGAGAAGTATCGCCTCCAGCTAGAACAAAACATTGCAAAGCTTCGGGCCTCCCTCCGCCACTGGCAGACATGGGAGATCGAGTATGAGGGTATGAAAGAAGAAATACTGGAGCTTGGCGAGGTTCATTCATGCTCTGATCTGGTACATGGAACCACTTTCCCTAGGGTGTGAAAGTAGTATCTCACTAGGATGTAGGAAAACATTGGTGATGCTCAGAATGAATTACTGACACCGAAAGGTGGGCAAACACATCGCAGCAACCAAGGGTTCTCAGACTAATGCCCAGCAGAGAGAAAGCTGCTGCTGCTTGATGACAGAGGTAATGTTCGGGAAAGCCATCAAGTGATTGGGCTGCTCTCCAGGCGTATCGACTGTAAGATGGACCACCATCCTTTCTTTCCCTGGTTGCATTCTTATTGGAGTCAGATGTACAACAGAACATCAGAACCATTTCCTCGCTTTTGAACACAGCACAAGAGAAGTATGCTGCTACACAAGTCCTAAGCCAACCCGAAGTCCGGAATGAAGAAGGTCTGCCTCTGACGGAGATTCACGAGGAATTAGATGAGGAAGGGCATGTCATATGTAAATCCTCGATTGCTAGTCATCTGTCTTCTAGCTGATGGCTCTCCCAGCTTCTTCTATATCTGAGCCCGGTCAGGCAGCACCTCAACTCCTAGAAAACCTCCGCAAAGCCGGTGTGAAGGATCTTCCATCAAACGCAGAGGAAGAAGGCCACTCCGTACAAAATCCAGAAAACACCCAGCAAGCGCTTTCGGACAGTAAACCCAAGGCAGACTCCGCGGAACTCAGCCCAAACTTCAGGGGAGCTAAAGGGTCCGATTCCTTGGATGTTAAAGCAAGTGAAGGCCAAAAAACTCGCAATCCCAGGAAAAGTGTCAGCTTCACTGCAGACACCAAGACAGAGAGCTTGCTTGAGCACAAAAGTAAGACCAAGATTCCAACTGTGAAGTCCGTCGACCGAGTCATCCCAGTGGACGGATTCCCGGAAGATGAGGCGCCCCGCCGACAACCAGTCATTCCCGTGAACGAGTCCTCAGAAGATGCGGCTCTCCGCCGGCAGATGATACAGTACAGCATGTCAGAAGTCAACAACATAGTAGCAGAAATTAATATTAATGATGAGGCTAGCAATGCCTCCTATTCTGACACTGGTAGCGAAGAAATTCCTGACGATAGCAGCCTCGATGAAGATGAAGATAAGTTCGGGAGGACCAAGCGGCGCGTGCTCAGTGATGACTATCTGGCCGAGATGCGCGCATTGGAGCAGAGATTAGGTGCGAAAGCTATCCAAAATGTTGGTCCAAATGCACCACTAGAGGCCTCAACATTGGCAAGCGGTCAGGAGAAAGTAGAGCAACGGCCAACACAATCCACAAGCAACGGTGTCAACAAAGCACTGAAGCCTCCTGCTAGCAAAGGCGTCCGCTTCGCCGAAGAGCTCGACAGCCAAACCAGCCCGCCTCCACCCGCTAACGCTCCATCACCCACAGCATCCCAGTCTCCCACCCAACCCAAACCCATCCACGCCAACACAGTCATCGAGCGGCCTTACTCAGCCACCTCCACCGCGCCCGCCGAACCCGACGAGTTCGACCCAGCCTTGCTCCAACAGGAAGTCAAAACCGAATACCACAAGATGCGCAACCGCATGATACAGCGCCAGGGCGGCTTCACGGCGCCCGAAGATGGCGCAGAAGTCCCACTCACGGAGGCCGAGGGCGGGCCGAAGAAGATGAGTAGGTTCAAAGCTGCGAGATTGGGAAGAGGGCCGGCTTAGGAAACAGACGTCCGCGGCAGGCCCAAGCATGTTATTCTTACGCATCGCAGTCGTTTCGGAGTATGCGTTCCATAGCGTTGTCGCCAATACCCTTTCATAAACACACATGATACACGTACCACCTCCTGACAACCCCTTTTCCACAACGCCCGAGAGCGAACCTCGGTGATTCTCAGGGCGCGTTGTTCGTCCTGTGTATATTTCTACCATGATCCCGGGAACATGATGCACCCATGCCCTCCGGGCAGACTATGACAGGCAGACCTTCTCTCGCGAGATGTTCAACCTGCCCTTGTCATACCGTGCACGCTTCCAATATCGACGAGGTTCCTCCAGGTGGGCTCTCTGATGCCATGTCCTTCCCCCCCCCTTGCGCGGGTGTTTCAAGATTTGGCTCTTCGTTTCACCCTCCACAATCCGTTCGTACAATACTTTTATAAAGAATTGATTCTGTGATATTTTGAAGTATTGAAAGACGCTAAATAGAAAGATGTTTCCGCTTCTATATGTAGTTACTAGTGAAGTTCAATCGTCACGCTCGTAGATCATGCAGCTCGTCAATACCGGTGGTAGCCATTCTGGAATGGTATCATCGAACCACTTCATTGCCCCCTTCCTCCTCCTTTTCCCCATCCAACCAGATCTCATGCCCATCCCCTTCCCGGACCAGGCCACTCAAAAGCCAACCCACCCCCGCGACGACAGCCAACGCCCACCAAACGGCCCCAACAACTCCCACCTGCAATCCCTTCCCATAACCCCACCCCCCCAAGATTGGCCCTACTGTCCTACTCGCACTACTGACGCTCTGCGCAATACCGTGAATGGTACCCAGCACACTCGGGTGTGGGGAGCAGTTGTTGATAAGGATGATGGTAGCGGGTAGGGCGAATGTGCGGCCGACGACTTGGACCAACAAGACGCAACTTAACGCGAGCCAGACCAGGATACCGGAGGCCTGATTCGGTGGAGCAAGGGAGGAGTGGATGATGGAGAGGTATGGCGTCAAAGTGTAGGTGAGAGGGAAAAGGCAAAGACTATAGCGAAAGCTTCTCAGGGTTCCGAGTCTTGCGTTTACAGCCGGGTAGACAAGAAGTTGTAGGCTTATTCCAATGATGCCAAGGACAGCCATGGCGAATCCGACGCTGCGAGGAGGCATCCCTAGTCCGCCCGTGAAGCCAAAAGGCAGGGATTGCCGTGTGTGAGAAGGTGGAGATGGGCTCTCCGGATCGAAGCGGGGCGCCGAGAGATGTATGAACCAGAGATTGTTGAAGGTACCGATGTGGAGAGCTAGAATCGAGTGGCAGAGAAGGGTGCAGAGGACGTTGCGGGTCCAGATGCGGGACAATGGCAGTTTAAGTCTTGGCTTCGGTTTCTGGGTAGGTGATTTGGGGAGGCGCGATTCGAGTTCGTAGGAGTCAAGCCGAGAGCCATCCATTGGGGAGCCCAGATCATCGTCAGCATTGATGGCGGTATAATGGTGAGTGTTTTGGCAAAAAAGGTAACGGAAGGCGTTGACGATGGAGTGACCGAGGCGGAGACCCAGGTCTGGTTGGTCTCGTATGGCTTCGAGTGTCTGCAAGATTTGTAAATTTCGAGCTGGTGACCACTTGTCATCGGTAGCATACCTCTTCAAGCCCGAACACGACTCCCATGGCAGAAATGAATAGAAAAACCGCACTCATCAAATTCGGAAGAGCATAAGGCCAATGCTCCAGCCAAAAAACCCCATTCTCCCCTCCAAACAGTGACTCGTCCCCAAAGACATTCGGATAACTCCTCACAGGATCTGAAAGCAACCCACCCAAGATTGGTCCAATAATGACTCCTATTCCCAATGTCAGTGGCAAACGTAAACAGCGTTCCACCAAACCTACCAATATTAAAACACATCGGCAGCAACAGAAAGGCCCTCGACTGGAACCTCTTTTCCTTTATAATCTCACTAATCATCGTTCTCATAACCCCCACATTCCCATTCAACGCGCCCCCCAACGTTCTGCAAACCATCGCCTGCCAAAACGTCCTGCTAAACCCGAACCCTACACAACTGACCGCCGTCCCCGCCAATCCAATCAACAGCACCCGTTTTCTACCACCCCACTCCGCATCTGCCATCCTTCCCCACAGTATAGCAGTCACGAACTGCGCGGCGGTAAAGCTGCCCTGCAGCATACCCGCTTGGGCTGAGATGGTGGAGGGAGGGAGGGACGGATTGAAGGATTTGAGCTGGTAGAACATATAAGCTTGAAGGGATGTCTGTGTCAGGGGTTCGGAGAGGCGGGCGAGGGTTAGGATTGCGAGTTGGGACTTTTTGGGAAGATCGCGCCAGGCTACGGGGCCGGGTTTGTCTTGTTTGGTGGGTGGGTGAGATGGAGATGGAGAAGTAGGTGGGGCTTCGTCTTCATCGAGGAAGGAGGCATGGCGGGCTATACTCGATGGACGAGGAAGTATGGTTGGACGCTGAGGTTTCCCCTCCTCTTGCGCTATGGGGATATCCTCTTCGTCGACGTCGTGCGTGACGTGTTGAACAACATGATGCTGCTGCTGAGATGCCGAGTCGTGGGCGAAGTCCTGTAACCTGATACTATCTGATGCATTGGGATGTTCTAACAGTCCTGCTCTTGCTACATCCTCGTTTATTGAGGTATCCAAATTCGAGATTTCATTTTCTAATGAGCTTGACCGCATAAACGTTGTTACGGCTTATCTTATCGGGAAGGCTTGGCGTGAGATGCTTGGCGGGGGCGGGGGTTTATCAGGAGGGATATTGGATGAAGGTACAATAGAAAGCAGATTTGCATGAAATACTTGTATGGACGGCATGAGAGGAATATCTCTGTTGTGGGCAGACAGTCTCTCTCCCCTCGTGACTCCACTGTGCTTTAACAGTCCGTCATAGCCGTTATCGGCACCCTTGCTAAAAGCATTAACATTGTACTATCAGACATCGAGCAATCATTAGTAGCCGTTAGTCTAGCAGCGATCAACGCACACCGGTCACGTCAGCCCAACAGATATTGCATCAAAGACAACAGAATAATCTTGAAGAGCTAGCTTTTTTTCATCTGTGTCTCGATGGATTTTTAGACCTTTGAAGTCATATCAATGCCAACGCTGAGGTCAACCCGTGGTCCAAAAGATCCGTACTCTTCCTGACCCATACCGTCCTTTTGTCATTCTATGGCGCCCTGATCCTTCCAATGCATCGTCACGCTGAATCGTCAAATCGTCAAATTGGTCGGAAAAGCGCCTCCTTCAAAGAGCCTTGATCCTCTGCCCGCCCTCCCAAGTATCTCCTGCCTCCAGGGTGTTCCAGCTGACACTTCCAGTCTCCACACATATGAATCTCTTGTATGCATCCTCAGGCGCCAAGTCCGACATCGTCTTCGATTTTTCGATCCATGGGTTCCACACTACAACATCAGGCAACATATCCCGGGTAAACTCGAACCGAGGCTTATCCTTCTCAATGATGGCGATCTCTTGAGATGGGTCCACGTGGTAGACGCGATCGACCTCAGAAGAGACAGTGATGGCTCCTGACTCTTCCTTGTTTCCGCCGCCTACTTTGTCTGCGAAGGAGACCTTTTCGAGCCCGGAGACTGAAACATTCGAGATGTTCTATGTGGTACTCGCGGTCAGCCTGCTGTTGAGATGCTTCGTTCTCGCTGTCTTTTCCATCGCATCCTTAGTCAAAGAGACTTACATCAATTGCCCAATAGCTATGTAACAGCGTCTGAAACTCGAAGTCTTTCTCTCCGGTGTTTCTTATCGCAAGACTGGTCTCCAGATCATCCCTGCCCAATGTTACTGAGTAGGTGATACCGAATTGGTAGTCCTTCCACTCCGACGGGATTTTGTCCAACATGGTATTCGAAAGTCCAAAGTCCAGTTTCACTGAGGAGTCTCCGCTGCTGTTGGGAAGTGTTGAGGATTCAGAAGAAGATTTTCCAAGGTATTCCCATTTGCTTGTGCGAGCAAAGCCATGTTGAGGGAGACCCTCAGTTGCTTTATTGGAAGATGGACCGAAGTTCTGGATGAGGCGGTCAGCAAATTGTCGCGCAAGGCGACACTAACCCACAATTATTTTGCAGTCGCAAGTCGTGAGTGGGAATCGATGTTATGGGCGTGCTTACAGGAAAGACCAGAGGAATACCACCCCTCACAGCTTTTGAGCCATCAAGGTGGGCTTTGGAGCTGACGAACAAGTTCTCCTTGCCTTTTGCAGTCTTCCACGAGAGGACAGTAGCGCCAAAGAGGAGGACCTCGACAGACTCGCCGGTGGGCAAGCTTGCAGTGACCCTAGAGTTGTCTTCTGAGATGGAGACCTGCGGGGTAGGTATTGTGGGAGAGACTGGGATAGCGGAGGGTTTGTTAGAGCGTTCCATGGTATTGATGAGGTTGAAGGGTGCTTGCGTGTAGAAGCAGTTGTTGGTCTGAAAGAATAGAGAGGAAAGTAGATGGAAGCTCGTAGAAGCTTTTTGATGATGATGATGATGATGTAGATGTAGGAAGAGATTCCCACTAATAGAAGCTTTTGCAAGGAAGTGAAGCCCGGGAATGGGGTCGCACCGTTGCCCCTGCCACCATCGGATCTTCGAGTGGGATGTACGCGAGAACCTGAAACACTTTCTTCCTCTCGCTTATGCAGGGGTTGAATTAGGGCTTCCCTCCACTTTGCTATTTTGACCAAGATATTATCTTCTTGCTAATGTCACTCATGAGTTACACCTCAAGTAAGCAGAAGCCTGTGTAATTAAATATTCGGCCATAGCTGCCAGTGGCAAAGAGCAAGTCAGTCCAAGGAATGAAGTGGTCCTTCAAGTCTTCCAACGCCCCGCTGAAGGATGCTTTGAAACAGCCAGGATGAGACATGGCAAATGCAAGGAGTGCACGCTGTGTCAAGTACACGATATGTTACATAGATATGTGACGACGACCTGCCTCGTGGACTTCCTTTACAGACTCGAACAGAATCCCAACCATTGCTCTCTCTTCCTCAGGTCCAAATGTAACTCGTTTGATGTTGTCCAGCATGCTTTGGAATTTTTGAAGGAGTCTCTGTGCAGTTGGGCTTTCTCCTTCTGTTTCAACGACGCCGCTTGCCTCAGGTTGGGCCTCGCTATCACGCCGGTTGACCCCAAACTCGCGGTCCTCGTTGTGCGTTGTAATTCTATTCTCTGGTTGATGATCTGCTGATAACGAGTCACGGCGTTGGAGTTCCTGCACTCTGGATTGTTCGTTGATTGCCTCAACATTGCCCTCATTGGCCGAAGAAGCCGTGGGCGTCGGATTTGGACGCGTTCCGATGTCTTCTGATTCCGCGCTGCTGCGTTGCAGCCACCTGAACATGCCTCTTCGCGGGGTCTTCCCTAAGGCAAGCCACTGCCCTCCTTTGCTAGAATCTGGTGAGGCTGCAGGAGACGTGTGAGGACTGTTCGTAGTGGATCCACTCAGGCGATCTGATACTCGCATACTCTTGCGCAGAGCGCTAGCTTGGTCCTTGTCAGCCTCCTCCAGTTTGAACTGGCTGTTACGCGACCCTCGCGGGCGACCGATAGATTTTTTGGCCGTCGTTGGCGTATCCTGTTCTTGGCTTGACGACTGGCTTGCTTCCGAGTTTCTGAGACAGTCCGCAGGTATCTGTTGCGCTATAGGTGTCTGTTCTACCCCTTCAGTGCTCGTAGAGATAGATGGCGGTGCGGACAGCTCCCTCTTGATCTGTCGAGGAAGGACTGAATGCAAGCGATCGGCTTCGCGCACATCGATCATGACGCAGTCAGCCACCGTCTCACCGGGCCTTGGGATTTCAGCGGCCGCCCGAGAATCCGAGGAAGCTAGCGAACGTTTTGTCTTCTTGTTCGCACTGGGTGAGTCGGCAGTGCATTTCCTCTTCTTGGTCGCTCCCCATGCTAATGGCTCCTTTTCGTCCGGCTTTGCTGATTGTTGTGAAGAAGCACGTTCCATCTCCGTAAAAAGTTGAGCAGTGACCTGGTCGTCCTCGACAGAGAGATGCGACGAAGCTTCGCTCTGGAATGAACTCGAAATATCGTTGGGCGGGTTGTCATTTTGCTCAGTAGTCTGTTTGTTCCGTGATGGCACCGAGGCAACATCGACATCGATGCCAAAGTCGGACCTGAGATCGGCATCAACAGGTACTTGCGGTGCCTTCAAGTCTGAGCCATCTTCTTGATCATTGACTGGAATTGAGGCGTCCACAACAGCGTTAATAGATTCGCCGTTAGATGAGTAATCTGTCGCACGTGGCAGCCTTTCGTCAGGGAGGCGGTTGCCGGGATCTTCCTCTGCATTCGCATCCAGCTGCACCAGAGCATGGTCTTCATGTGCCAGCGGTGTATCAGCCAATTGATTGATTTGCAAATGGGGTGAGATGAAAGGTGCAGACGGTGGGTCGTCATCAGAGCGCCGATCGCTCGACTTCTTCGAATTGGGTGTAGGCGAAGACCCAAGGAACTCATTCATCGAAGCATCTGGGGGGTAGGTTGGACTAGTGTCCTCATCTATGGCAGAGCCTGGAGCCGGATTCTGGGTAGACTTGAAAAGGAGCTTTGGTAGCATTAGATCTGTAGGTCGGGAAATGCTTCGCGGGCTCGATCTGATCTCTGGGAACATTGCAGCTGCTTCGCGGCCTTGGCGCTCTTTGACCTCTTTCTGGCGATCTGTCAGATATTGTGACTCAACCGTTTCAGGAAGCAGAGGTGATGATTCGATGGCAGCGAACTGGATTTGGGAATCATCGTGTCGTAAGCATGCCTTTGGAGTAGTCTTGACTGCCTGTCGTGCTGGAGATGGTAAAGCTTGAAACCCAGCAGCTATTCTGGTTTCCGGACTGAGCGGCACGCCTTTGATAGTATCTGAAATGCGTTGCAATGAACTTATTGACGGTGGAAGTCGAGTAGGGGATACGACAGGCTCCAGTTGACTTTCCTCTTCATCTTGGGAGTCGACGAAATGCAAAGGCGAATACAAGTCCTGGGAACGTCAGCTCTCGCATTGAAAGCAGCCAAGCAAAGTCCACTTACCTCCTCGCCATCCAATTCCGGAAAATTAGGTAGTCGAAGCTCAGTAATAGGCCTGAGCTTTCGCAGTATGTTTCTTAATTCTTCGGGATACTCCAGAGTACCTTCACCACCAAAGGTGCTGTTCCACATGACTATGGCTTCATTAACGACTGCTTTATGTCGGCTCCTAAAGCCGGCGACCACAAGTTCCTGAATGCTGAACAAAAATCTAGTATCAAAGACGACGGAATGCTCAATCGATTTCACCACATTTGTCCACAACTTGTTGACCTGGAGCGAAGCATGTCAGCGGTGCAGAATACAGTTTTGGTGGAGCACCTACTTCAGAATAGAGGGTCCTGAATGGGGACGATGGGCTCAGGCTTAGAATGCCGGTCGCATCCTCGATCCAGGGAGCCAGTCCCTGTTGTATGCGAAAGAGGACCACGCCTGTGAGCTTTGGCGGACATGAAGCTATCATCTTGGCTGTAGCTGATATGAATTTGATAACTGTGGCCGATGGCAGCGTTTCTAGAGAGGCGTAAGAATTGCTGAGTAAAACACCTACCATAGAGTACAGTTTTTCGAATGGATCCTGGGAGGTGATCTTAGGGACTACATGGGTCACTCCCCAAAGCCGGTGCTGAGCACGTTCCATCAAGTGTGGAGACGGTGGCCAGTGTACTGCCTCTAGCATCAACGTAGCAGCGGCGAAGACGGATTCGTCACATATCTTGTCATCTCTGCTGATGAATCCCGCCAACGGTTCAATTATGACGATGCCAATGGCCTCATCACCAACATCTTTTCGCAACGCGTCGATAATGTGTGTATATAATTTAGGCCACGTAGATCCACTACAATTGCAACGGAGCTGAATACCAAGCTCTAAGATCTTGACGGCCTCCCTGAACTCATGACCGGGATATTGAGGGCTGTTATTGTGGAGTTCGTTCTGCTGAGGCTGCTTCAGCGCCAAGGAGGTGCCTTCTGCAAGAAGCCTCCAGAACGTGACGTCAGCTTCCTGCTGATGAACCCCGTCTAGTGTTATCAGACGACCAAAGCTGCGAAGTATGCCAAGCTGTGTCCCTCTAGACGCTGCTGCTTGTAGTGGGATATTTAGTACGGCTTTGAGAGTGTCAATGTAGCTTGTTGCGATAGGCACATGTTGCACATTGCTGAGCAGTAAGTTCAAGAGGTGCGTTACCGGTGAATTGAGAGAACCAGAATCTCTACTGGAGCGGCTCGAAGGAGTTTCAGCTGCTTCATAGGAATCCTGCGAGGTTCGGACCAAACGCCGCTCCAAGAAAGGTATACTTCCAATCTTAGCTACTGCTTCGTTAATGAGTATGTTGATCTTCTCAAATGTCTCGGACTGGTCTGCTTTGCTTGCGATGTCTATTGGTAGAGTATTTCGCTCCCTAGCGAGCTTGGAGTTGCTTCGCTCCAATAGAAGCTTGATTTCGTTGACAATATGTGCAACAGCATTCATAGCATCCATTGATACTTTAACTTCCTTCCTACCGGCATCACCCAAGGCAAAGGTGAAACTCCGCCAAGCTAGTATTATAGGTGCGTCTCCATCCTGGGACAGTTGCCAGTCAGCATGATCGAACAATCTGTCAAAGACCTGCAATACTCTCGCCGTCCTCAGCCGGATCCATTTTGGATCGAGGCATGGTAGATCTTCCGGGTTGATGTGTCCATGATTTGCCCTGTTCTCGTCCCATATCTTTGGCTTCCCGTTCCCTGAGCAAAGTGCGGACAGTACATCGCAAGCGTGATTAATATCGTTTTTGCTGGCGATGAAGCAGCTTGGCAGGATTTGAGAGACGTAAAGATCCCAGTATTGATCCAGCTGAGCATGTGTTGCGGTCGGTCGTAAAGCATAGTATAAAAGCGTGCAGTAGGATGAGCGAGCGACTTGCTTTGCCTGCTTGGAGTTCTTGTCGCTGGATTTTCGCTCCAATTGAGAGACAATGGGTTGCCGGAGCATCTTAGCCATAGAATTTGAGGTCGATGTGTCCAGACTGGTGGCAAAGATGAGGCGATTCCAAGCACTATTAGCCTGTAGCTTGGTCTGCCCATCGCTAGAATTGAAACACCGTTGTATGACTACCAGCCAAGCTTTGAGATGTTCCCAGCTTTCGAGCTGGCGCCGGCGACTGCGAAGAAACAGAATCACAACGCTCCAGATCTGGGGTACATGGATCCCGTCTTCCTTCGCATTCGCCATTTCGATGAGACGGGAGGATAGGAAGTCCACCACTTTCCTACCATCTGCAGATGCCCTGTTGAGTACCTCGAGGCAGGCTTGTGACACTGCACTTGTTGTTCCAAGCTGCAGACCGGCGTCCACGCCAAATGCGATTGCTCGAGCACGAATATCCTTGATTGTGCTCAGCAGACCAGAGACAAGATGGTTGATCCAACTTCCTACGCGGGAAATCATCAATGGTTTGACCTGGCCAAGCAATCGTTGGTAGATCATCAGTCGATGTCCAAGAATACGATTGCCCTTCACACGAGCATTCACAACGTCCAGAGCCGAAATAAGCCTGTTAACTCGGTCGATGGTCATATACTTGGATGCAAACTTCTGCTTCTCGAGCAAATGCATGTAGTGAGAGACTAGTGTCTTCGGGGACGCTTCGTCCTCAAGGCTCGAGATTGATCGGTCCAGGATGAACGAGCAGAAGTCCTCGGGAAACATGGCTGCCATACTGGGTGTGCAGAGGAAGATGATAATCAACTTGAGAGCTGGATAGGCGAGTTGTAGATCCAGACTTCCATCTCCTTCGTTCTTGGCCGTGACATCCCGCCGGATGTATCCAGTGATTTCAGCCACCTTTTCAGCCAATTCTTGTTCCTCTGGAACCTCATCGTAGACACTCAAACACGCCAGTAGAGTTGAATAGGCATCAAGTCGAGAGGAATGTGAGGCAGACGCCAAGTGCTGGGTGGTAGAGCGAAGCATGGCTGGGAGGTTGGTATTGTCGAAAGCGAGCGGTTCATTGCTCGAAGAGTCTCCGGCGTTGTCCGTGCAGGCTTTCAGAATTGATTTGGAAGATTTGCAGTCCTTGGACCGTGGGAGTTGTCGTATCTGACCGTCTGAGTCGGACTCCGGGCCGCCAACAGAAAATCTGTGATATTGCGTGCCTAACAGTGTAAACCCTACTTTCTTCTGGGCTTTCCCTGTGGAGTCTTTGAAGTATTCTGCGGAGGAAGTAGGTGATTCATCGGGCGTGTCAAGAAGAAGATAGCCCGTTGAAGTGATCCCGAAGCCATGAGTGGGCGAGGCTTTGGCAGTGTTCTCCTTAGGTGGTGTAGGAGGGCGTGCAGCTATTGGAGCCAGTCCTGGAGCGAAGCCCGCCATGATTGATCTGATTCATGCAATTTTCCATTGAACCTTGCTCACACCCAAGTAGCAGCTCCTTGAGTCGTTGCCCTGCAAAGCATAGCATTTACATGAAGAATGATCAGTACTGGGCGGCGCCTGCTCATACTCACCTACGCCAAACACGAAAAACGCGTGCACGTCAAGAATAATTTACGAGTCATGTCGGATAAACCTCGGGCACTACTCGAGTCGAAGATCAACCCCCACGCCCTTCTCGCCATTGAACATCCGTCTTATGGACTCAACCCCACCAATTTTGGAAGCAACATGGGAACAGGACTGCAACTTAACGGCATAGGTAAGCATAATACTTACGGGAAGTCACGGGAAGTGTAACAGGGAATGTCTAACTAGAATGCGAAATTGAAGCCAAGAGAGACGAAATTGCAAGGCTCCTAAGTATCCTCGAGGTCGATATAGAGGAACAGTGTCTACCTCAGAAAGGTAAGAAGCTAAGCCTTGGTAATGGCCATGGCATGAAAGCCTAAGAATGCACTTCTAGAGAAACTCAAGAAATTGGAGCTCCTTAAGTCAAACATCACTTCAGCGGAAGATGCTGCGCTTTTCGCTCAGAAGGTAATTAATGTTTCGATCTACTTGAGACGTATACCCTCTAACCGATCGTTTGTTAGGGAGTCCAGACTTTGTGCTTTTACGCATTCGAAGATTCGGAACCTAAAGATGGAACATCTCGGGTGGCCCTGAGGTGTATTGCCAACATTCTCTTGCTGGAGAGCAAGACACGTCAGACATTTGTGCAAGAGGGGAATGCTATCAAGGTAGCAAGAAAACTAAGCGTACATTTCTAACTATCATGAGCAGTTACTCCCTGCTGAGTCCCGCGTTAGGATAGTCAAGAGCACGAACTCTTGTGTTCTCGGATCCTTTTCCTGTTGACGTATGACACCACCTACAACTTTGACAATCTCTTCGACGACTTCCCTTTGGCCGAGAAAATACACGAGGTAAGCTGCTTGCGCTCCGCCCAGGTCACCAGGTATTTTGCCGCTTACGACACACAGAATATCAGTCATGAGGCCGAGCAATTCGACAGAAGTCCAGCTAGCAACTCTCGATCTCTCTCCGGCTGGGCCCCACTGACGGAGACCCTCAAACTATTGTTTAATCTGACCTCTTTCTATCCCCACCGAATCTCCGCCTTTGACCGTACAGTTTCCCCAATCTTGGCGATCCTCAAAAACATTCAACTCCAGACACCTGTTTTGCAATCGCCAGTAACCCAACTAATTAATGCCCTCCTCAATCTCGACCTCCAAGGCAAGGAATCTGAAAACGCTCCGAATGGTAAAACATCTTCGTTCTTCCCTGATCTTGATCCAAACACCAATGTTAGCCGGCTTGTAACAATTCTCGACACCGCCATCCGCACCATCAGAGAAGAACTCCTAGAAACCACTGTCATTCCTCTCATCACTCTCCTACGCCGCACCTACGACCTGGCACCTTTCTCTGTCAAGACGCATATGCGATTGACTCTCCTCCCTTCAAACGAAGAACGCGCTCAGCCTTTAGGGAATTCAGACACATTGGCTTCGTGCTTGCTTCGGCTGTCTACCTCGGCAGTAGCACCAAATGTTCGCGAAGGCATTTCAAGCCTCCTCTTCGAAATATCTAACAAAGACGCAACATCATTTGTGCGAAACGTGGGTTACGGTTTCGCTGCCGGATTCTTGATGACGCATGATCTGCCTGTACCAGACACTGTACTCAAGGGTGAAGACGGAAGCGACGATCTAGAGGGAAGACTAACTACTGTAGATGGTAAAGAAATTAACCCTATCACTGGCCAAAGGCGCGACATGGAGCCCCAGGATTTTGGGCCAGAGATGACTGACGAGGAAAAGGAAAGAGAAGCAGAAAGGCTATTCGTACTGTTTGAGAAGCTGAAAGCTACGGGGGTTGTTAACGTCTTGAATCCAGTCGAGCAAGCCTTGCAGGAAGGCCGGTTCGAGGAGGTGGATTGACTCTTCCGATGGGTAAAGATCCAATTTCATTTGTCGACGAAATTGTATTCTAAGCAATCGCACAGACTTCTCCATCTTTGACCATGCGATTTGCGAGTCCCCATCTTCTCAGCCTTCTCCACGCTTATATGCGGAGCTGCTCTGAGGATAGTCAAGGGCACTTCAGGTCAAGAGCCGCACTTTTTGTAAGCGACAAGCGTCCTCAGCGCTGAGTCTTATGCGACACGTTTCGCTTTGTGCTCTATTGTGTGGATAGATCATAATGTTGGGCACGCAATGTCGGATTTCTTGCGGCTCCATATCTCAGACTGCCTCCATGCCGCCATTCTGTCAGCCAGTTCCCTTGTGATCTTCAACCTCCGGATTTGATCTTCTTCCTTTCGTGACCATGCCTTTCCTATCCTATAGCCATTTTCTTTGGATTTTCGTATTGGTAGCGTTTGCCGTCACCAGCAACGCTGACGTTACTCCACAATATAACGAAGAATTCGCTGCTAGGGCTTTGGTAGCACCAGGTATTACGTAAATCTCCCTCCAAATAAGCAGGCAGTGAAGACCAGGAGAGTCTCTGGGTTCTTGTATGAAACATCCGTGGACTAACCATTCTGTCTATAAGGAACGTGACGAATCTCAACAATCGATTTGCAGACTTGTCCCTCGATTACATCTCAATTAGGTCGGAGGGCTTCACCATAGATCAAGTTGCCCTTGGTTTCATAAACGCAGTCAAGCGTGAAGCGATCAAAGACTGCGATCAGTACATAGCCAGCTATACTTTCACTGATACGGAGTATGCGGACGACCCGATACGTATACAAATCAATGCTGCAGCAGGTGGTCCTGAAGGGCAGCTCGTAAGTGCACTTTCGGAGCAAGTCCTTCCTGGTTGAAACCCTTGGTATTGAGCCACAAGACACGTCTCGCGAGCAGTAGGCCGGTTTCAGTCCCTCAATTTGTTTTGTAGCCTAGCTCTTTTACTCCAAAGAAAACATTCTGACTTCGAAATGTGCAGGTCCGTTGCAATCTTGTGTATGCGATCAAGACCCTTGCCATCGATCTCATGACCCAAGAGATTCTGTATGGGGCAAGATTTACCGAGTCGTATCGCGGCCAGCTTCTTTATGTTGGTGTATTCGACAACAAGAACGATGTACCTTCGCTAGAGCAATCCAGCAACTCTTGGGCCGACCCCAGCGAAACATTGGCACAAGAAAGGCGGGCGCTGAGCACTCAATCACTGAACGCAACGAACTCTTCCACCACTCTCCTTGCCATGACAGGGTCAAATGATGTCGAATATCGAATCGAGTTCGACTTTCGTAAGAACCGGGTCCCGAAAACCGCCATCTTCTCGGCGATTCTGGAATTCATGATGACACTAGCGCAGCTAGACAATGACGACCAAATCGAGAATGTCAGCCAGGCGACTTCCACTGATTCATCATGGATCTTTGTCATGCATAATTCAGAGTCGAGTGTTTCACTGGAGGGGTTTCAACTAGTAGCGATCCTAGAGGGTATTGCACGACACGCTGTTCATTGGGGACGTTATGTAGAAATGACTTTCGATTTCTTCGTCAACAGGGAGTTTGTCGCTGGGGGTTGTGTAACGGTGCCAAATCGGTCTAGGGCGTGGTGTCAAGGATTGAGGGAGGGAGGTCCGCAGTCATTGGTCAAGAACTCGTCATCATCCTCAGGGAGTGACCTGATTCAGACCTAGTTACCAATATATTGAGCCGCGAATCACAAGTGAAACACTTATGAATCTAGAAGAGAAGCTTTTTTAGATGATGGGCACGTGACTTGACCTCAGTAGCCAAGCAATTCCAACTCCACTCAACATTTTCTACGAGCACATGAATCGCCATACATTCGCCCATCTTCGACGCATCTCCTCGCGATGTGTCTAACGACTGCGCAAGCTTATATGCACAGCCACGGGTTTAACACTCCGCCATGACTGCTGTGACTAGTGAAGCCGGACGTTGCTCCGCAATGCCTCATTGACCATGCCTTCTATCGATCGAATGGACTCGAGGGTCTTATCGGTCGTACCGTATCAGCAACCGACCAGCCGAGAAGTTGTCCTGTGAGTCTGATATCTTCTCTGTCGCTGTGCAATCTACTCATTCTTCCTCAGTCGTCACAACAATGCCGTCGTTGTCTACGAACCCCAATCAGAACGTCTAGTCCTCCGCGACGCCTCCCATGGCCAGCTCGACCTAACATTATGCCCTGCATGCCGCCAGCCGTTGCGAGGAGAGCGAAGTACGGGTAGTCAAGAGCATGGTGGTCCGGAACCAAGTCAAACTGGGGGATTCGTTCATCGAGATTACTTTCGGCTACATCAGAGCCTTTACGGATCGCCAAACTCCACAGCCCCGCCTTCTCCACGGAGAAGACTGGTAGAGCCGGTGAGACCTCAGAATAGTTCCCCGAGATCCCCCGACCAGCGCGCGTATGTGGATAGCCCACCGGCTTCCCCAGCCGCTCCGCCTGGTATCTCGGAAACCGCCTTCAGTCCAGGGTACTTTCAGAGATGTTACGTCGTGGAAAAAGAGCTTGGAAAAGGAGGGAAAGGAGTCGTGTTGCTGGTCACACATCTCTTAGATGGAAACGAAATAGGGCACTTCGCTTGCAAGAGGGTGCCTGTGGGAGATGACCGAGAATGGCTCAAAAATGTGCTCATCGAAGTCCAGCTTCTTCAACAGCTTGAGCACAAGCATCTGGTGCGATACCATCACGTGTGGCTGGAAGACGTGAAGCTGTCGAACTTCGGGCCGAGCGTGCCATGCGCTTTCATCTTACAGCAATATTGCAACGCTGGAGACCTCCACGGCTATGTGTTGAATTCGGCCAAGAGAGCAACCTCCCCTCATCATCTCAAGGAACGCGTTAGACGCCGCTCGAAAAACCAACCCGAACCGCCTCAGGATTTGTATGGTCGAAAGCTCCCGCTCGAGGAAATCTACTCGTTCTTCAAAGACATAACTTCGGGTCTGAACCATCTCCACATTAACGGCTACATTCACCGTGACCTAAAACCGAGCAACTGCCTGCTACATGATGATGGCACAGGAGAAAGACCAAGGGTATTAGTCAGCGACTTTGGAGAAGTCCAAGTAGAAGATATGGTACGGAAATCTACTGGTGCCACGGGTACCATATCCTACTGCGCTCCAGAGGTACTACGCCGTCAATCGTCTGGTGTGTATGGCAATTTCACAAGGAAGAGTGACATCTTCTCTCTTGGCATGATTCTCTACTTTCTCTGCTTTGCACGATTACCTTACAGCCATGCGGACATTCTTAACGAAGAGAATGAGGATCTAGATCAGCTGCGAAACGAGATTACCACCTGGTCAGGCCTTCACGAGGAGAGAAAGCTTCGGCCTGACCTGCCTGAACAGCTGTATACCTTCCTCAGACGATTGCTCTCTCTTGATCCTGAGGGAAGGCCTACTGCAGAAGCTATACTACTCGGGATAAAGACCAACTCCGGACTCGACAGGATCTCGGACTCTAGGTCCAGATCGGCAGGGCTCATGTTCGAGGACCTAAGGAATGATTCCAGGATCTCGCCTGTCGACAGTCCTAGACCGTCTACGCCGGCTCGAAGGATGTCTACAGGCTTCTCTCGACCAGGCGGCCCTGCCCAGCTTCGACTGGCGTCTTTGCACAAGGAGCGCAATCAATCCCCAACAGCACCAGCACGAGAAGGAGAGAGCGACCATGCGGAAGCTACGAGTCCTGGAGGAAGTCTAGTATTGAGTCGGCAATTCCCTTCGCCCACCAGGCATGAGATGCCACAGCTTACCGCACCTCCGGCACAGAGGTCTCGTTTTTCGAAGGTTGACCTCCAAAGTCTGCTTGCACGGCGGACCCTGAAGATCCTATTCCTGCTGCTCAAGATCGTCTCTGTCAACATATCTTGTGCGCCGATGGCTGCCAATCCTATGGTAGCGTACCTTCTGCTGGGTCTGGCTGCGCTTGATCTCATCTTCAACAGTCCAAGGCCTGGAACGTCAGTGGTACTTGTGGTTTTACATGTCGCTATTCTGCTGGCTGCCTCTTGGGCAGGTGTACTTTGTATGTCTGGCCCGGACTACCGGCAAAAATTGAAGATTGAATACTAGATACCCAGCATGTAACGTATTTGATGAAATGCACCCCATATCATTAAATGCCGATCCATTTCAGATCTCTGATGGCTCAAATTAATGGCTGGGAAACATAGTATTTTTACTTGGAGTGAAGCACATCTCCAAGCGGGATTCTTTTTGAGGAGCCACCACTCAAATCTGGCTAGGTTTCCAAGCTCCACCTCTCTTTACCGGCTCGTTATGATGCAGCAGCAGATAGATCAGCGCCATGAGTCTTGGGGAGTTGATTTGTCTCTCTATTAGATCATAAGCGCACTGCAGGCCGATCTCGCCATTTGCCTTGCAAGACTGATATACCATGTTCACAAAATGCGCTGTTGGCCATGCAGAAGACGGCAATTGCCTTGGTAGCAAGCTGATGAAGCACGGGCTTGATCCTGTTTCAACGTCCCAGGACCATGTTTGAAGAGGATTTTGGCGGAGATGATCCCTGCCGTCGATCTTAGGGCTATACTACTCTAAGGTACATGTCAGCAAACAAGGATTTTGGGGTTGACAGTCTTGGCATTTCCAGCCCCGCGATGACAGCCCAGCCCTCTCGCGCAGGGATACCTAAGTATCAAATCACCATCCACTGCCGCGACACAAATACAGGCTTCTTCCATTCCATTTCCGCAACTTTCCGACTCGTACATATCCTTCACTTCTGATTCCTTTGCTGACCTGTTCTCACACACACACAATCACACGTCATCCTTTGACGCAAGACTGTACAGCAATCAAGCATCCTACTTTACACAAAGCTGCTCTACCGTTGGACTAGCCCCGACCGACGAAGATCCCTCCATCTCAGACATTGCCTTCAGTACATTAGGACACTCGGGGCCCAGCTTCTAAAGCTCATCAGAAACAACTGCGCAAAATTCACACCCAGTCTGCAAGTCCTGCAGCTCCCCGGATACCAGAATCCGGCTTGTTTGGCCTTCCACCCAACCAATCGCCAGACCCATCAATCCGGTCTCCATCCCGATAATTACAGCTTCATCTTCGCACCTCAGCTCATCAACCGCTTGCTATACTCAAAGGCATCGGCCTACATCTGCGCATTAGCCGCCATCGACATTCAGTCAATACTTTGCGATGCTCGGGTACATCTTCTTCACCTTCTGGCGGCTGTTCCAGATCGTCACGCTCATTCCTACATTGGGCATGCTTGTAAGTTCAGATGCCATTGTCCCATTCATCACCTTAGGCCTGGACTGACCCAAGCTAGGCATACTTCGTCAGTGTCAACCAGAAAGCAAATCGACTCAGCCCAGCCTCCATCTTGTAAGAGCTCCATACCCTAAATCAGGCGCAGATTCGGTGCCTGATACTAACACATTCATCTTGCAGGACCCTCTTCATCGTCTCCACCCTCGCAGCCGTATGGGCGATCGTCACTCTGTTCCGCCGCAAATCTACCCAAAGATCCACCCTCTATGTCGCCTTCGTCGACCTCTGCTTCGTCGGCGCCTTCATAGCCGGCGTCTACGAACTTCGCGGCATCGCCAAAGCCAACTGCTCCAGCATCAGTGATAGTGGCCCAACATACCTGAGCGTGGGAACCAATGGGGTCTCGGGATCGAGTGGAATCTCAGCCAGTGTCAAGAGGGACTGCGCAATGCAAAAAGCGAGCTTCGCGTTCGGCATCATGAACTGCATCTTCTTCTTCATCACATTCATGATCTTGCTCTTCATGCACAGGACCAAGGATGATGATAATGTGCAGTACAAGACCGAGGTGACTAGGAGGAGGAGGAGTCATGACTCGAGGTATGCCATAATTTTATCAACAGGTGTTTTCCTGAAATTTTGCTGACTCTTATGTACAGGCGCGGACATTCACGCAGCGGTGGTGGCGGATCAACTCATCGAAGGAGCTCGAGGGATAGCAGACGCTACTATGTCTAAGAGGGCCGAGATCGTAATTGCGAAGGGGGCATGGGAGCGAGGATATCTAACGGCTGGACACCACTATCGTTTCCTCAAATGTCTCATAGTATCTTGGTCTTGATTACACCGCAGTATCAGAATCATCCGCGCGATCTAGCGAAGCGTTAAGGGAGTCAGATGGAGGATGTCCTTCGTTGACAGAGGGCCGGCAATTGGAACTACCTGATTCTGTAAATCTTTACAAAACATTCATTATCTATTACGATCCCCGATCCCTGACGCCTTTTGCTACCAGCTCTGCTCCACATGTTTTGACCATCGTCTGCGGAGTAGGTGGGTCCTATCCTGCGTCCCCAGCGTAGCCCCCGCAATCCGTCAACGATAGCGTCACCGGATGCATGAGCAAGCACCATGGCGTCGACACACCGACAGCCGTTGGGAAAGCTGCCAGAAGAAATGGCAATCTAAGCCCGTATCCCTCCTCCATACACCAAAAAAAGAGAATTAACGAGAAACCGTCTTTTCGGCCGTTCATTCGACCCCTCTCGCGGGAATGTCCCCTGACTCAAACAGAAAGAGATGTCCTTCCCGGGCGTGATGCACCGAATCGACGTACGCGGAAACAATGACCGTGCAATTAATTGGGCGAGCGCTGTGAGCCAAGCTTACGACGGACGAGGGCTGACACTACGACAAAACCAAAACCGATTTTTTTCTTCAATTTTTTTTTTTCTTCCTGCGACTTTGAAAAAATATTTGAAGAGATTTTCTAAAGAAATATTTTAAAGAAATACTTTAAGGGATTCTTTATGGGGTACTCAAGGAGGATTTAAGAGATTATTTAAGGGTATACTTTCGAAGATACTCGAGGAGGGTATTTTAGAGAGTACTTAGAGGGTTACTCGAGGGGTTTCTTAAAGATTTACTCGAGAAATCACTGGGGAAAAAAAAAAAAAAACTTCGCGGGGAGTTCCGCGGAAAGTCCCGTAATTTTTTTTTTTTTTTTTTTTTTTGCGAAGAACTTCATAAAACGTAAGTACCCGGAAGAGTACCCGGAAGAGTACCCGAGAGAGTACCCCGGAGAGTACAGAGGTTTGCACCGAAAGTCCTGCACCCGCACTAGTGCAGCCCTAACCCTACTTTCGGAAAGCGGCCCTGTAGAGGGAAAGCCTAGAAATATCTTCTTATAGCGCATGGATGGGACTTTAGATACTTCTTTTGGCTTGATAGGGGTATTAAGCCCCGAAACCTGGCTAGGGCTAGGTGCGATTCCGAAGAACTCCAGATGTATTGTCTAGGTAGCCCTTTAGGTGGGGCGTTATCCGAAGTCTGAGCGCAAGAGTCTTGGCGGGTGCAAGACTTTCGGTGCAGACCTCTATACCTCGAAGAATACCCAGAAGAATCCCTGGAGAGTACCTCGAAGAGTATCCCGGAGAGTACCCCGGAGAGTAGCCCCTAAAGAGTGCCTTAAAAAGTACCTCTCGAAGAGTTGAGAATATTCTAAAAAGAATATTTTGAAGAGAGTTACTAGAAATCGCGAAGAAAAAAACGAAAAGAGAATTTTTTTTTGGTTTTGTCGTAGTGTCAGCCGTCGTCCGCCGTAAAGCTCTGTCCGAATTCGTTATTGGCCGAAAGAAACTCGAGATTGAACGTCCTTGCGCTTCTTCCTTGTTCTTCCCATATATGATACCAAAAATCCAAGAAATCTCAACGCTCTCTGCTTTCCTTTTCCATCATGACTACTACCCTATAGCATTTGCGCAATCCGTAACAAATCAGCAAGAATGACTCAGACTTTCCCTCAATCCCCAGAACAGGGTCTCGTACCCTCGAATCAGGCGGAGCCTCAGCCAACGCCGGCAAATACCTCTATAGAAGACCATCACCTTCTCACCGCCCTCGCGCTGAAGGACAGTCTAGGCGCCGCCCTAACAAAACAAGGCAAATACTCCGAAGCCGCCACGCTCCTCCTCGAAGTCCTTACAACCCGAGAATCCCTCAACCAAAGCCCCACCTCCCCAGGCATGCTCTGCACCATGAACAACCTCGCCGCCGCACTGCACCACCAAGGCCACCTCGCCTCCGCCGAATCCCTCCACCGCCGCGTCCTGGAATCCGACACGCAAACCCTGGGCATCTCACACCCCAACACCCTCACCACGATGCACAACCTCGCCGCCGTGCTTGCCCACCAGGGTCCCGACAACGACAAAGACAACGCCAAGCTCTCTGAGGCGGCGGAACTGCTGCAGCGGGCCCTACAGCTGAGTCAACAGGTGAACGGCTCATGGAGTCCACCAACCCTGCGCATAATGGGGGAACAGGTCAATATCCTGCTCAGACAAGAGAAGTATGAGCAGGCCGAAGGGCTGGCGAGGGAGGTGCTGGCGCTGCGGCGGGAAGTGCTAAGGGCGCAGCATCCGGAGATCGCGACGGCGATGCATAGTTTGGGAATGGTGTTGGGAAAACTGGGGAAGGTGGATGAAGCGAAGGCGCTGCGGCGGGAGGAGCGGGCGCTTAGGGAGATTGATGGGGAGGAGATGGCGGGCTTGAGGGATGAAGATGGACAGGTTGCGATGAAAGAAGGCAGGTATAAAGAGGCAGAGAGTATATTCCGGAAGGGGTTGGTGACGGGAATGGCGTGAGCTACTGGAAATGGTGGCAGATTTCAGCAGTTGAGCCTTCTTCACCTGATGGAATTGCTGAAGCTGAAGCTATTGCCATCATCAAAGCTGCCATGTTCTTGGACCAGGTAGGCGCCCAATCCAGCACCGCTCTCTACACAACATCCAGTATTCCGCCTAGCAGCTTCTACTCGTATTCTTACCGATTTCGCTTCGTAGCTATACCTGTTCTCACCAATGCGTTAGCAACCCGGCCACTAGTCTGCGATTATCGCTTGATGAGATTGTGAACAGAACAGAACAGGACAGGACATCCATCTATCCAAGGTGACGCCAGTCAAAGATATCATCAACCACTTCATAGCTTTCACTCCCAGCAATGGCGTTCCAGGCCTCGAAGTCAGCTTCAGCCCCCGAGGCGATCCCGATGATGACACCAAGGCAGCCTTTGCCCCTGTGGACGGCGTCTGGAATCGAGGCGGACCGATCACACTGCTGGAGCTCAAGCCTTCCCATAAGCTCACGGCAGAAGCTCTGCGAACTGCACTAGACAACGGAACAGGTCGTCCCAAAAGAGGTTCGAGACCAAACCGATCATCGACAGCCCGCGCGCGACTAATGATCCGACGTATACGATCGTTGCGGTCTTTACGCAGGTCTTCGTCTATATGATCACAACTGGGATAGCGTCCGCCTGGCTATACCGGCGTGGCTGTGTACTTTCATGTTCCTGAACTGAACTCTACCACTCTTCATTTCCGCCTCAAGATAATCCTCGAAGTAGCACAGCGAATATCGAGGAAACCAGCGTGTGCCAGAATGCCGTGTTCGTTCGTTGCTGCCTGTCGGCGGAGAAACGAGATGCTGATTGGATTCGAAATGCGGTCGATAGCAACGCACGATTTCTCGTGGATCCTGAGGCGCAGCTGAATTTGATGTCCTCGTCGCCATTGTCAAGTACACCTGATTTCGTGTCGCCAGGCAGAGAAGACTATAGGCCACCAAAACGGAAGCGAGGATATATCCTCACCGGAGGTAGATCGATCTTATCATTGTACCGATGATACTTCTGACGATGACGGTGGTGACCATTCTTCGCTGATTCGTCCTCGACCGGCCACACGTTCCCGCACACAAAAAGGCCACAGTCGTGTCCCCGTGGCTGCCTCCATAACCTCGCCAAATGATGGGAATGGCAGTACCCGGCCCCCGCCCACCACAGGGAGAATGACCAATACCGGCTGCATGCTGTGTGCTCCTCCGCATATACCTCGCCAGTATTGTTCGCAAGCCTGTCTTCGTGGCTTGAGATACTCTTCTAAGACGAAGATTCCGCGAAAGCTCGATCCGGCCTGTCCGAATGCCGCACTGCATCCGAAGACATCAAAGCGCGAACTGACCCTTGACCAATTTCACAACTTGTTGCAGCGGCAGCTCCATCGCAGTCATACTGACGCAATCAAACACCTTGGCCTCGGTGGCAGCTCGGGACAGATGTATGCAATCTTACTATGCTCGCATGGTTACACCTTTGTTGGCAAAGGCAGCAGGTCGGACGAAGTGCCGACTCTGGTTCACGAATTTGTCGTCTACGAAAGCTGTCATCCACTGCAAGGAAATCCTATTCCTGTCTGCCTTGGTCTGCTTGATCTGGATGGACCTTGTTACTTGGAGTCACCTAATCCTATGACACATTTCTTACTCCTTTCATGCGGCGGTATTCGACTACAGCCTGGTTTAGAGCTAATTCCACCCGCTGATGTAGTGATCTCAAGCGCCAAAAGGGCGCTTAAGAAGCTACATGACTTCAACGTCACGCATCGTGATTTGTGCGTGGAGAATCTGCTATGGAGTACAGAGTTGCAGTGTGCCAGAATCGTCCACTTCGGCAAGTCCGCTTTACTGGAAATTCCTGGTGTTCCTCCATCGGCGAGGCATCGTTTGTCGTCCAGCCAAAACGGGCATCGGAGAGTTGTACCGAATGTGAAGCTAAGCTCTTCGGCTGGAGTGCGAAAGGGACGAAAGACAAGGTATCGGCATGGCGAGCTGATGTTCTTGATGGGGGAAAGACGGTGCGAACTTGCCGCCATTGAGATGGAAATTCTGCGGTGGCTACCAAAACCTGCCACATGAAGCAAGGCGACTTCCAGTGGGTGGAAGCTTTCAGATCAGATCGCCCAGCTACTGTATCAGAACTTGCGATCCATTGTGCTCGCCAATCACAAGTGGCCATCTCGATCAGATTGCCAGCCTTGTATTACCCTGGTAATTGCCTTTCAGACGATTGGTTCGACAGCCCATACCGCAATATGCTTCCAGAAGACCATTCAGCCTCTTCGCAATTTTACAGGATGAGAAGAGGTCTCGTCGCTTGTTAGGTGCTTGAGTGTCTTGGATGTTCCAGAATGAGCATCTGAATTTCCATCGCTCGTACATCCTTCTGCTCCCACTCCGCGGTTCCAGCGTACTTTCAGAGTACCCAAGCTTGGCCTCCACGCGTTAGTCGGAGGCCGGGTTGCTGACCCTCAACCAGCGATCGGTGACCTCATTGTCGCGAACAATGTCCTCGGCAGAGCCGGGCTCTGGCTTACAGGCCTCCGCCTCCTCACGCGCCCGCGCCCTCGTTCGTTTCATCCTTTTTCTCTCACGCATTGATAAGACCACAGGCTCGTCCGATGTCGGCGGTTCGACTTCGTCGCTAAAACACTCGGACGTCGCGAAAGAACATACCGCCGGCTCAATCACCTCATCGTCGCAAGTCGGGTCGCCCTGTGGGACCGGTCGCCCACCGTGCTCATGGAAGCGACACGGCCCACCCTTCTGAAGTTCGTCTTTACCCCACTTCCTCTGCGTGGCCTCGAAATAGTCCGCACCAAGGTCCCCCGCCATAATTCTAAAAAGTTCCCGCCAAGACCGGATAAAGTCGTTCGCGGGAAGGAGCCTCCTGTTGTAGCCAAACATACAGAGGTCTGCACCGAAAGTCCTGCACCCGCCAAGACTCTTACGCTCAGACTTCGGATAACGCCCCACCTAAAGGGTTACCTAAACAATACGTCTGGAGTTCTTCGGAATCGCACCTAGCCCTAGCCAGGTTTCGGGGCTTACTGCCCCTATCAAGGCTAAAAGAAGTACCTTAAGTCCCATCATACGCTATGAGAAGATATTTTTAGGCTTCCCCTCTACAGGGCCGCTTTCCGAAAGTAGGGTTAGGGCTGCACTAGTGCGGGTGCAGGACTTTCGGTGCAGACCTCTGTATCTAGCTGGCTGATTGGCTGGTTGATCGTGCCCAGGTCTACCCGAACCATTTGTCGAAGAGTGCTTGTCTCGCCGACATCCTCGTAGATGCATTTCACTACTCCTGGTTGAAGTTGCCAATCACCCCTGCCGAGGCACGCCCGAATCCGGTCCACTTCTTGATTTTGGAGAGCGACCACCTCATACATATTCGCGAAGATCGCAAGATCAACCACCGCCTCCAGCGATGCCGCCGGGTGAATCTATGGCCCGCCGGATAATGCCCACATATAAAAGTTTCGAAAAGTTGCGATCGAAATCTCCGGCGCATTGATCATCCCAGTGGTCGACTCGTTTCAAGAGTCACGCGTCAATCTCGGCTCACAGGGCTATACTACAAGTATACCTATTAAAATAGATCTTATGGTGGCATATAAGCGTTAAAAGAAATATTTAATAATATTAAATGTTTTTAAAATAATAAATCTATACTATTATAAAGTATTCTAGTATAAACTCGCTAAAATATATATTAATTAATATTAATAATATAATAAATTAATAAAGATATTATATAAAGAAAAAGATATAAAGAAAATAAACAATTATATATGAATTTATATACGATTTCTTATGGGCTTAACGTTTTAATCTTTTTATTACCCGCGAGCTAAAATAAGCGTTAATTTATTTATGACTGAACGTCGAGCAAGTGATGAGGAGGTACTATTGGTGCTGCAATAATGTCGGCTAACAAGCGTAGCTTACGATCAACTGCATCCATCCCAACACCAAGCACATCAACCTTGGTGCCGCAACTTCAACCTCTCCCTCTCCCACCACTCACATTCAACTCACAAAACACATCCTCCAATTCCTCGCCGATAAAGATCATCCCACCAGGTTTCAAACTCCCAGGTCTGTCGCCCTCGGAGTTAACACTCCTTCACCGTAAACAGACGAAATTGGCTTCCACCGTCACCTCCACCTACCATTCCCTACCCAACGCGCCAGGCCTTCTCCACGCACTAGCATCCACTCTCATCTTTGCCCAACACGAGGCCGGTACCGCCATCTGCATCGATCCAGCAGGCTGGATCCTGACCTGCGCGCACTGCTTCGGTGATGATGAAACAGAGTACCAAGCTGACTCCAGACGGAGATGGCTCCTATTTTACACGGGCCTAGCTGTGCAAGTTGAGTGTAGAGTGTGGGATCCCAAAAGGGATTTGGCGCTGTTGAAGGTTGTGGCGGTCGAGACTGATGGAGGCAAAGAGGGACGAATCCCTGCGTTTCGACACGCTTGCCTTTCGTCCAATCCACCGGCACTGAAGACGCCAATCATCTGTATAGGCCAACCTGGTCGTGATGACTTGGAGTCATCGTCTGCGCGAAGGACTAAATACAATCTGATAGAAGTCTCAGAGGGCGCTTTCCGCGGTATGGTACGTGGCGTCGATCCGCAGGACAATTCTGAGATCGGCACGCTGATGCATGATGCATGGACATACTGGGGTCATTCTGGCGCGCCGTTGTTGACGGAGGCGGATGGGAATCTGGTGGGGTTGCATTCGAGTTGGGATGACCAGACGCTGATGAGGCATGGCGTGCCACTTGCGGCGATGAGGGAGTTTTTGAGTGAGCATCTGGCAAGTGCCAAAGCTAGAGGCGGGGAAGATGTGGCGGATGGAGGGATGGCATTAGACAATCGGTTAAAATGAGTGTAGTTATACTTGGAAGGCAGAGTCACCTCCGGATTTGGCTTCTTTTGTGGGAAAAATTGCTTCAAGTCGCTAAACGATGGGGACTACGGAACTTCTTTTTGAGCCGAAAATGTGGAGAACCACAAACTATGTCAGACTGAATCTTCTGAAGCTGACGCACGGGATCGGCCAATCTTCGTGCATGGGCATCTTTGATAGCTCTTGGTCTATTATATTTGCCACAAGTTCGAGGCTTCCTAGCCTTGCGGTCTGATGGCAGACCTGAAGCTAATGATCGAGGTGCAAAAGGTAAACCCTTGAGGTGAAGCTAATGATCGAGGTGCAAAAGGTAAACCCTTGAGGTGAAGCTAATGATCGAGGTGCAAAAGGTAAACCCTTGAGGCAGAGACACTCTCATCCGTGCAGAGACATGGGTGGCGGCCGTCACCGCGTTTGATTCACTCGTCTTCCATCAGGTCTTCCTCCTCCCCAGCACGTTCCCTGCTATCCTCATCCACCTTGGAATCTCTCATTCCGTCTAGATGACCCTGCACAAGCTCAGCGACCCTGATGCCCGCAACCTCATCATGCACGACGCTGCTCGTATCAGGATCCTCAAAAATGCCTGCACTGACCAAGTCCTTTGGCAGCCTGTCTCCCGTCTTCTTTCCCACTTCCAGCAGTATCGACTTTCTTAAATATCCATCGGGTTTGTTGGGACTTGCCCAAACTCCTCCGGGCGGCAGCTTTTGTTGGAAGCCTGGCCAGGACTTGTCGTCGGCGTGCAGCCATGCGAGAGCGTAGCGCATGTATAAGAAGCGGCGGGCAGGGCGATTGTCATTGGGGAAGCTCAATTTGCGCCCGTCAATGTCGCGCCATCTCCACAACCCTCGATCGGTTTCTTTGGACATGTCTTCGAAGAAGGGCTTGTCTCTTTCGGCAGTATTTAGAAGAATAACCTTCCACTCCGTGGGACTAGATTCAACTGAGTCCACGGGCACTATGGTAATCCAACAATTGTCAAAACCTTCCTCGATCTTTTTCTGAAGGCTGAGTCCGTTCCTCCTGCTGGTCAGTGGGGCTTCATCGCTGCCGAACATGTGGGCCGTGTCCTTCGTGTTCCAGGAATAAGGAACGATGTGCGCGCATTTCACTGACCCAGAGCCCAACCAGTATCCGAGGACATTGCACCATATTCGTGAGTCTTCTGTGTCGGGGTTCTCAGTCTTGGTGCCGAGATATTCGTTGACACTATCCCGAAATTGCTTCCTGTCTAATCTCGGAGCCTTGAGACCTGGCAATCTCTCCTTTGAACTTGAGGCAGCCTCAAGTGAAATTCTGAGCTCGGTGATGTAAGCATCTTTCAGCTGTTCCCTGCTAGTGACAATGTCGTTCAAATCTTCCTCGAGAACCTTTCGCTCGGACAGGAGAAATACCTTCTCAGACAAAAGGACCTTCTCGTCTTCCTTTACTAGCGCTACAAACTCTGTCTTTGGCTTACCAGCGTCGTCAAAGAATGTATTAGCTTCTGAGAGCGCTTGCTTCTGCACCGCTCTCACTCTGAGCGTGCTTTCCACCACTGCGAGGCGCCACTTCAAAAATGGGGAGGTGGTATGCGGGGAGCCCTGATCGAGTAGCTGACTGGCCTTTCTCTTCAGGGACATCATCAGGTTCTTCGTCTTTGGAGTGCAGTCAACGCTGTCCAACACTGAAGAGTCCAAGTCCATGTCAAAGCGCGAGGAAGTGAGCTGCGTCTCAGGCTTCACAAGGGGCTGAAAGTGAGCCATATGAAATGATTTGGGAGCGAAAGCCGGTTAAGGAGATTGAATGTACAATTGCTGCCGTGAAAAATTGAATGGGTGGATGTTGGTGAACAGCAACTGAGGAGCTTTTGGGAAGGATTTTGTGGTCTAGAAAGTCGAAGGCATATGTATATATTTAGCGTAGAAAGCTTTGATTCATCAATCTATCTGTTAAAGCTTCTCAAATGTTCTCGATTCTCGAGTTTTGAGCATTGAGAAAGCAATGTGCAAGCTTTCCAATCAGGCTTCGGTTTAGATTACTTGTATGAGTCGTCATTGAATGACATAGAAGTTCGGAGAACATGTGGCTCTGTAGCATACATTTGTTGTTACCTGTTGGCTCCTTGGAAAAGGCCGGGAAAGATTGACAGTACCTCAGTCCTCAGAAAGAGATATGATATGATGGAGAGATGCGCTAGCGCAACCTTATCTAAAGGCTTATAAAGGAATGGGCAAGCTAGCGGCCATTAATCATCCTTCAAAGCCACGAGGCCTCTTCGATTGCCCTTGCGTCACTCATTACATTACCTCATACTTATGGTACCTCTGGGAAGATGGGCAAATACTCAGACTCAGACGAATGGGTGGATGTCGTTCCCATCCCTCAAGATGACGGTGGTCCTAATCCCTTGGCTGCAATCGCCTATACTGAAGAATACAGCGAAGCTATGTCGTATCTCCGAGCTGCGATGGCCAAGAACGAGAAGTCGGACAGGGCTCTAAAGCTTACAGAGGAAATTATCCGGATGAACCCTGCGCACTACACAGTCTGGTACATAAACAAAGAAGGCCAGAATGGCGGGTTACTGACAAGTACATGGCAGGCTTTATAGAGCAGACATGCTATTTTCGTTGCAGAAAGACCTTCTTGAGGAGCTAGAGTGGCTGAATACAGTAGCTCTCAAACATACCAAGAACTTTCAAATATGGTACTCATACCGCAATCCGCGAACGGGCCAAAAGCTGAAGCTTACGGACTACGCAGGCACCACCGCCAAGTAGTCATGTCCCACATCCCTACCCTACCTCCCAGAGAAACCGCATTCCTCGCCCTCATGTTCGCCAAAGACGCCAAAAACTACCACGTCTGGTCCTACCGCCAATGGCTCGTCCGGCATTTCTCCCTCTGGGATTCCGAACTACCCTACATTGAATCACTCCTCCAGATCGATGTCCGCAACAATAGCGCGTGGAACCACCGCTGGTTTGTCGTGTTCGCACGACATACCGATTCGAAGAAGCATAGCATCAAGAATGGCGACGCAGACTCAGATGTACCGCTGGAGATAATAGAGCGGGAGGTTGAGTACACAAAGGCTGCAATCTCTACGGCACCGCAGAACCAGTCCCCGTGGAATTATCTGAGGGGCGTGCTGAGGAAGAAGGGCATAGGCCTCGTGGAGTTGAAGGGGTTTGCGGAGCAATATGCGGATTTGGAGAAGGAGGATGAGGTGCGAAGTAGCCATGCGCTTGATTTTTTGGCGGATGTCTACGCCGCCGAGGAGCACAAGGAACGAAGTGGAAAGGCGCTGGAGTTGTTGGCTAGGAGGTATGATCCTATACGAAAGAACTACTGGGACTATAGGAGGAGCTTGCTGGCTTTGGACCAGGTCAGTGCGTGAGGTTGGTTCACGGTCTGTAATTGAATCAGGAATTTCATGACGGTAATGAATACTTAGATACCCAGGCATTGAGATGAAATGTGTCGAATCCGTTTCCCTATTTTTGCATGCTTCTATTTTACATTTTCCACTTCGCCCATCTATTCAACCGAATCCTTTACCCATAGTGCACAGTATCCCTTCTCTCCTCAATCATTTGACCTGACAACTCGTCGCCAGCGTACTTGGCACTTCCCTATTCTTCGTCAGCGCTTTTTCCTTCTCGGCAGATCTATGCTGAAATCTGAAAGTGGCGTGCAAAGATTGGTGTTCTGTGACGCCTGAGCGACATCGCCTCCTACTCTTCAAAAATCTTTCTCACAGCGTTTTAGTCCGACGCAGCCTCGTATACTGTTGTACATGCCCCAATTTTCGAACGGCGCCCTGCACGTGATCAAGAATGCAGCTCCCCACAAAAGAAAGAGTTGTGATATGGAAGCAGGGAACATGAACCACTTGATACCCTGCTTCCACTCTCTGCTCCAAATACGCGCGTAGTAGTACGTGCTTACGTCGGATGTCATCGTATGCGAGTCACCTTGTTAATTCCCCGCGTCAATGGGTCAAGATAGTTGGTCACGGTCGGCTTCGATGCCAAGCCAATACGTATGTCTCATCTATCCCCGCATCCCAAAAGTCCCCTATTGGATGAGGAGGCTGAGCACGGGCCAAGACGTCGCATACTTGTGTACCCGAATCAGGGGGGATCAATGAGCAACACAAAGTATTCAGCGATCCTCTCTAGAACAATACGCTGAGGAAGAGTGGAAAGATAGATTGGAGTGAAATTGATACCTGCTCCATCATTCCTGAGTACTTCCTCTCTCTCAAAGAACAAAACCATTACACGAAACATAAGTACACTTACAATGCACTTCACACTCCCTGTCTTCTTCTCCTTTATTAACCTATCTCTCGCCCTCGCTGTCACCCCTTCCAATCCCACCAACTCAACCGCCAATACAACCTTCACTCCACCAAGCCGCTACTACCTCAAAACCAGCGTAATCGGGGCCGGGAATGCCGACAAAAATGACCTCTACGTCAGCAGCTATCATACCGGTCCGCTAACCCCCGCCCTCCTCTGTTATACCCCACTCAGTCAATAATGCCACCGACACTGCCTCTTCTAACACGACCACAGGGCCTGGTCTGAGCGACGCTACCCTCCTCCCATTCTCCCCCACCAGCAACACCGTCGGCTTCCTCAACGACACGCATCAGCAATTCGACCTGCACAGCTCCGTCCCCTTCGGCATGATCATGGAACCCTCCGAGAATCTGGACGTCGGTTCGTTCGTCCTTTCCTGATTGCCAAGCAAGGATCGGTGACGGTGGACTGACGATCGTCTTCTGCGTAGCGTGGAACTTTGTACGTATCAACGAGCTTGTGTTCGATGCGGGGTATGGCTCAACGGACGGGTTCTCTTTCAACGCGTCAGGCTTGCAGTGGGATGGGCGGGGAGTTGGAGTGTTCGTTGGGTGGTTGGGTACGTGATTCTGTTTGCTTTCTCGTCTGCATGATTACATTGGTTGGCTGATTACGATTCGCAGCTTGCGATTGGTGGCACGGCGTCCCGCAGCTCTTTTGGGAGTTTTTCTTTGTTCCGACGGGCATCCCTAGTAGCTGTGCGCAGGTCGAGTTGCATCCAGTTGCCGTGTAGGCAGAATGGGTCAGTAGGGGAAACGGAGGCATCGAGGACCGAGTTAGAAAGGGAAGTCGGATTGAAGGTGTCCAATTACGCTTTGTAAAAACAAATTTATGTCAATGAATGCGTACTGCACTCCGTCTCTTCGGGATCGCAAACCGATCAGAAAGCGAAAATCCGCACAACATGATCAGATGAACGGTCTCTGCTAGAGCCACCCTCGAATGGATCGAGCTCCAATCCATCCTTGCAACTGACCCCGTTTTCCAATTATCGACTTCAACGAACGTCGACTACGCGTCATCCACAAAGACCTGTGCAGCTCGTTCATCACGACAAAAATCCCTTCATCTTCCAGTCTGACCATCAACGCCCACGCCAACGGTCTCGTGCCGAGAGCCCACTCCGCAAAGACCCATGCATCCATTGTCCACGACCCAAAGCCAAGGGCCGTCCAAAGTCCCCAGCTTTTCGCCGTCGACGAAACGTGCATGAAATGAAGCAGGTCACGGTGAGAGAGATTATGCGGCTGTACCTGCATGCGGATGGCTGCTCGAGGCGGGAATTCGTAAAGGGGTTTGGCTGGGAATGCGTTGGGGGTTCCTAGAGTAGAGGGTAGAGACGAGATGGGGAGGAATCCGATCGGTCTCACGGAATGTGAATGAAGTGGTTGGGATCGCCTGTTTATTTGGGCAACCTGCATGCATCCGGTTCAGGTCCCTACCGGTATATTGGGAGTGAAAAAACGGTTGCTTGGTGAGAAAAGGAAATTTTCAACGCGATCGCACCGTCAGTTGCCTGACTTCGCTCCTTCGGAAATGTTGCCCCAGTTGGGTCGTCCGTATACTCAAGTAGCCAAGCAGTTATTATTTTTTTAATGTTCTGATAGGGTTTGAGTCGCAGCAGAATGTTCTGTAAATTGTTATCACAATGTCTTTGTGTATAGATTACAGCTGTTGTGATGTGTCTTTGAGGGTGTGTGAACTCACGATTATAATGTTCTCGGTCACGCAATTTGTCAAGTATATCTCAACGCGAAGCTAAGGACTGTAAGATATTCTTTCGTCTGGCTCGAATCTATATTTTTCACACGGTCCCTCTATTTAATTGAAATGATTTTCACAGCACTTCATCCATCACTCATTTGTTATGACCATTTGTCGCCACAGTGCTCGGGACCTCCTTATCCTTTGTCGTCTCTCCCTCCATGAGCCCAAACCTCTCCCTCCATTCCATCAGCATCTCGAGCGTGACAGCAGCACCCCCACACACAACAACCACAATCTTACTCTCGGCCGTGAGCTCCGGCAACAACTTCTTCAATCGGCCATCGTAGCACAGCGCCACGTTGACCCCACAAGCCGGTTCGACAAGCAACCTCTCATCGTCTGCCAGTCGCCAACATCCCATCACCGCTTCTCGATCCTCAAGCACCACGCTCCTCACACTCTTCCTCTGCCCGTACTCAAACGTCTTCTCCCCAACCCGCGTCGCTCCAAGACTGGTACAAATACTCGTAATCTTTTCCAACCTGACCAGCTCTCCCTTTTCCAAACTCTTGTGCAGACTCTCGGCCCCTCTGGTCTCCAAAGCCAAGACCTTCATATCCCCCCAACCCCGCCTCTCCAGTCCCCGCATCACGCCGCAAAACAGCCCTCCACCACCAACAGAGCAGACCACCGCATCCGGCTTCTCTTCCAACTCCTCCACTATCGTAGCAGCACCATCCCACACATCCTCATGGTCAAACGGCGGCACATACACCCCATTCCTATCCTTCCCCAGCAACTCTTCCCTCAAATACGCATCGGCTTCCGCCCAGCTGGCGCCCGTCTGTACCACGTCCGTCGCCCCGGCATTCCTGATCTTCGCGACCATCAGCGGCTTCGTCGTCACGGGAACGACGACCGTGGCGGGGCGGCCGAGGGCGTGGGCGGCCGTCGCGCAGGCGAGACCGGCGTTGCCGCCGCTGGAGGAGTAGAAGTGCGTGAGGTGGGGGGTCGGGTGCGTGAGGAGGGTGCGGCGGATGAGGTTGCCGATGCCGCGGGACTTGAAGGAGGCGGCGGGCTGGAGGTTTTCGAGTTTGAGGAAGATGCGGCTGTCCGGGGGGGTTGGTCAGCGGTGTGGAGAAAGGCCGTCGGAGGGTGATGGGTGGGTGTACCATCCTGCCGCTTTGGAGAGAGCGGCGGACTCAATCAGAGGTGTCGAGACCCAGGGTTTGGGGAGGTCGGGGGGTGGTAGACTCCCCATGGTTGAAGATTCTTGGGCGTTTTTGGAGCTACGGTCGATTTGAAAGCGGACGAGGACTGTTGCAGTCGGCTGCTCAAGGGTAGTTGTAGAATCGAAGGCGAGAGGGAGGAGAGAACGAAAATCCTCCACTTCGTATATGAATAATCATTGCCAAATATCGGAGCTCAAATGCTCTCACCATCGTGTTCCTACCATAGTGACTAGAACTGGCCCAGTTCCAGTCAGCTGTAACCCGTGATAGGCTCAGTAGTAAAAATCATTAAATCAGATTTTTTTTCTTGGAAATCATAGTCAGATTATGATTATTCACTCGAATTAATTATAAATTTAAAATTATTACGCTTTTTAGCTAGACTATCTAACTTAGCTCGCTAGCTCTCTCGAGCTTTCTAATTAAAAAAATAGATATACGTTATTTATAAATAGAATAACTTTTTTATTCTCTATTAAAATCCTTTAACTTTTTTTTTAAATTATAGATTACGAGTAAAGGTCTATGAATTAAATTTATAATTTTTTTTTTAATTAGAGTTATCGAGTAAATAGATAAGCGAACTTTAATAAGCGAACTTTAATGAGCGATATTTGAATTTCTTACGCTTTAATAATTATTAGACTAAATTTAAAAATTCGTTTTTTTATCTAAAAGCCTATATTTCGTTCTATAATTTGAAAAGAAATCTTAGAATTTTAATAGAAAATAAAAAAGTTATTCTAAAATTAAATAATATATATCTATTTTTTAATTAGAGCTATTCGGCTATCGAGCGAACTCTAATAAGCGATATTTGAATTCCTTACGCTTTAATAATTATAAGACTATATTTAAAAATTCTTTTTTTATCTAAAAGTCTATATTTCGTTCTATAATTAAAAAAAAATGTCGAAGATTTAATAGAAAATAAAAAAGTTATTCTATATATTAATAATATATATCTATTTTTTTAATAAGAGAGCTTAAAAGAATTAGCGAGCTAACTTAGAAAGTCTAGTTAAAAGACGTAATAATCTTAAATTTATATTTAACTATATATATAAATTTAAGATTTTTAAGCTTAACCCTATCTTATTCTTTTATATATATTAATAATTTATACTTTCGAATAAAAAAAGAGTTATAAAACTTTATTAGAATTAATATAGATATAATATTAATATAGATATATTAAATAAGATAATTAGATATTAAATAACTATATAAATAAAAGATATTAAATAGTAAAAATATCTCTATTAAGATATATTAGACTTTAATAGATATTAAAGCTAGATAATATATTAAGAAAAATATAAAATACGCTCGTAATTAAATTAATCTTATAATAATTTAAAGATAGAAAATTTAAATATTACTTATTAAACTTCGCTTATTAAATTTACTCGATAGTCGATAAATTTAATTAAAAATAATAGATATATATTATTTAGTTTTAAAATAACTTTTTTATTTCTTATTAAAATTTATAAACTTTTTCTTTAAGCTATAAATTATAACTTACGCTTTTAAATAATAAGAGAATATTAGATTTTAATCTTATACTTATATAAGAATAAGAAATCTAAATATTACTTATTAAAGTTCGCTTATTAAATTTACTCGATAGCTTTAAATAAAAAAATAGATATATATTATTTTAACTTAAAATAACTTTCTTATTTTCTATTAAAATCTTTTAATTTTATTAAATTATAAATCTAATTTATTTATTTTAATATTTAAAGAATTTTATAATTTAATCTTATAATTATCTAAAGATAAGAAGTTTAAAGATCGCTTATTAAAAACGTATCTCTTACTTTTTATAAATTTCATTTATAGACTTAAACTTAAATTAATTAATATTTTAATATAACTATTTTTAAATTAATTTAATAGAAACTTCGCGTATAATAAAGCGATTAATAATTAAAAGATATATTAAATATTATTAAATATTATTAATAATATTTAAAATATATATTATTAATAATATTTAAAATATATACTTTAACTTAATATATATAATATTTAACTATTTATAGAAAAATATATAGAAAATAATATATAGAAAATATTTAAAATAGAAAATTATTAATTAAATATTATTAATAAAGTTATTAAAATAAAACTTCTAATTATTTTTATTAAATTATGATTATTATTATAATAATAATAATAATAATTTTCTTTAATAAAGATCTATATAGAGATTTCTAATAGTTTATAATTATATTAATATATATAATAGAATAAAATAGAATTAAGCTTAAAAATCTTAAATTTATATATATAATTAATTATAAATTCGAGTTTATTACGCTTTTTAATTAGACTAGCTAAGTTAGCTTACTAGCTCTCTTAAGCTCTTTTATTAAAAAAATAGATATACGTTATTAATATATAAAATAACTTTTTTATTTTCTATTAAAATTTTAAGATTTTTTTTTAAATTATAGAATAAAGTATAGACTTTTAAATAAGAAAAGAGTTTCTAAATTTAATCTTATAATTATTAAAGCGTAAGAAATTTAAATATTATTTATTAAAGTTCGCTCGATAGTTAAATAGTTTTAATTAGATATATATTATTTAATTTTAAAATAATATTTTTATTTTCTATTAAATTTTTATTTTTATTTTTTAAATTATAGAATAAAATATAGGCTTTTAGATAAAAAAGAATTTTTAAATATAGTCTTATAATTATTAAAGCGTAAAGAATTTGAATATCGCTTATTAAAGTTCGCTTATTAAAGATCGCTTATCTATTTACTCGATAGTCTTAATTAAAAAAAAATATATAAATTTAATTTATAAACCTTTACTCGTATTATATATAATATTTATATATATTTTTTCTTTTAGAATATATTAAATTTACTAATATAATAAAGTTATTATTTTTATTAATATAAAGTAAATAAAAATTAATAAAATAAAATATTAAAAAAAAGTTATAGAAATAAAGAAAAAGTTTTATAATAATCTAAATTAATATTATATTTAATAAGATTTATTTTTAAATAATTATTATAAGATCTTATTATTAATATTATTTAAAAAGATTTAAATATTCTTAATTTTTTTATTAGTATACGAGTAAAGACCTATGAATTAAATTTATAATCATTTTTTTTAATCAGGGCTGTCGAGTAAATTTAGATCTTTGATGAGCGAACTTTAATAAGCGATATTTAGATTCCTTGCTTATTAATAATTATAGAATTAAATTTTAAAATTCTTAAAAATTTGAAAAGCGTAAATAACGCTCTATAATTTTTAAAAAAAATCTCAAAATTTCAATAGATAACAAAAATGTTATTTCTATTATAAATAACGTATATCTATTTTTTTAATAAGAGGTCTCGAAAGGGCTAGCGGGCTAACTTAGTCGGTCTAATCAAAGAGCGTAGTAATTCTAAATTTATAATTAGCTATATATATAAATTTAAGATTTTTTAAATTAGTTTTATCTTATTCTTTTATATATACTAATATAAAAGAATAAGATAGAGTTAAATTAGAAAATCTTAAATTTATATATATAATTAATTAAATATTTAAAAGTATTACGCTCTTTAAGTAAATCGACTAGGTTATCGCGGGTAAATAAATTAGCGTTCGTAATTTTTAAAATCTCTTATTCTACTTTTACTTCTTTAATAACTTTACTATTTTCTATTAAATTTTTTAGATTTTTTTTTAAATTATAGCCCGTAACTTACGCTTTTTAATAATAAATAGTTTTTAAAATTTAATCTTATATTTCTTTAAAGATAAGATATTTAATTATCGCGTATTAAAGTTCGCTTATTATATTTACTCGATAGTAGCTCTTATTTTAAAAAAAATATATATATATATATTATTTAAATTTAAAATAACTTTTTTATTTTCTATTAAAAGCTTTCGATTTTTCTTTTAAGTTATAAAACGTAATTCGCATATTTTAATAAATTAAAAGTTAAAAGATTTCGTCTTATAATTATTTAATAATAGAATTTTCAAATATCGCTTATTCAATTTCGCTTATTAAATTTACTCGATAGTTTTAATTAAAAAAATAGATTATAAATTTAATTTATAAGTTTAAACTCGTAAATAATATAGTAATAATTAAGAGTAATAAATTATTAAAAAGTATATAATATATATAAACAGATTTAGAAAAATTAATTAATTTAATAATTATTATATATTATTTAAGAAATAGATTATATATAAACTCTTAATAAAGATATTTATTTTATTAAGATATAAAATAGCGATTATAATATTATAATATTAGCTATTAAAATAAATTATAATTATTAATTATTTAAATATATAATAATAATAGTTATAATTATTATATTTTAATTTTAATTTTAATTTTAATAATAATAAAATAGTAAAAAAGTAAAAAGAAGTTAATTCTATTTGAATATTATTTTAATTATTAATTAGATAACTATTAAGAAATAATATAATATAACTTATAAATATAATATAATCGAAAGATATTTATTAATTTATATACTTTATAAATAGATATATCTAGAGAAGAACGCGTTAAGATTTAATTAGAAAGGTATATTAAGTATAAAGAATTTATTCGTAATAATAACTTATAATATTTTTAATAGATATTCTATTATATTATATAATTTATATATAATTTATATAATAATTATTTAAATATATATATCGCTAGAATAAAAATAGATAATATATAAGCTCTTAATAGAAATATCTACTATATTAAATCTATAAAGAGCGACTATAAGATTACAATTAGATTTTAGTTTTGATGGCGCCAAAAAAAAAGTAAAAAGGGTTTGATTCTATTCGAACACCGTAGGAGACCAAATTCCCACCATTCCGAGTCATCGTTACTATTTATCTCGACGAAGTGATCCGTCCCAAGCTCGTCATCTTATCGGGCCTCCCAAAGGTTACCACTGGGGAAGAGCCCCGTCATACATTTAACGCGACCACACGTGGTTCATACAATATCTTGAATCCTTCTGTCTTGAGCTCTCCGTCCAATCCTCTGCTTGATCCTCTATTTTCTCTATACTCGGTATCCGGTGCAGCAACCTATAAGAGCGAGAGCTGAGAAGATCTAAAAAGTCTAAGACGCGTTGATAGAAGACCCAAATGAGGACACCGACTGGCTCAAACCGATAAGTAACAGGCGCCGAAACAGAAACGCCTCGAACCATGTCTTGTGTCATACCCAAAACCCAGATCTCTTTCCTCCTGAACGTAAAGTCTGACGTGACATCTTGGGCACTAGGAATCTGACACGGTTATGTACTCCGGGCGAAGCCAGGCTCGCAGTGTATCATCCCACTGTTCCTCAGCAAACGTCGTACCATTCATTTGATGGTATAGATAAGTCGCCGATCCGTCAGTCAAGGTCACACTAGCAAGCCTTGTGAAAGGGAACTCGTTGCTTGGGAGCGTTGTACTTTCGTCGTATTCCGTTTGTATCAGTGCCGGCTGTGTGCCGTTGATCCAGATACCAGATTGTATGCCAAAAGCTGCAATATCTGACTGGTGGATTGAAGCATAATCTTTTGAGGGTGGTGTATATTCTAACATAAATGTTATTTCACGGAAAACATTCCGTATATGGGGTTGCAAAATGCATACCTGTTAGGCTGAAGTTCCCAGAGCCGTTGAGGCCGACCATGTAGCTAGCAGCAAAAAAACTGTCGCCAGCGAGAGGAGTTATGGCATTCAGCGGGAGGTTAAACGGTGAGTAAAACCATGCTACGGATACTCCAAAGGTATTTGGTGCACTGCAGAACGGAGTGCTGTATACAGCAATCGGGTCTGCCTCATATAAGGTATGGCTGAATGTAGCATTTCCATATCCGGAGTGTGTGTAAAGGGCGTCGCTGTAGTTAAAACCAGGAGCATTACGGAATTCATTCGGCAATGCTTTGCTTTCTTGACTGGTGATATCAATCCATTGATCCAGCAAATACGGTCCATCATTCTGGTTTTCTGCGATTACGGTAAGAGGACGATACAACAGCGCTGATACTTTCCCGTTTGGATTCTCATAGTACAGCAGAGCTATATTGGTAGTCGAATCTTCATTATTGAGATTAGATGAATCATTTGCCACTGAAAATAAGATTATGGACAGTGAGCGCGTATCCACTGCGGTGCTGTAGCCCCCAAAGTATTGATCTTGACCCCAAGAGCCTTCGATCATTACATTTGAACACACAGTATGGTTTTCTGAAATATAGTACAGCGACATCTACATATAAGTTAGCGTGTATGCAAATGGTAGGTTTTTTTGATTTTGGCCAGTACATCGCTGTCAGGTTGGGCTTCTGTAGGGCCGATTGCTGTCAACGGCGTATTCCTCTTGGGGTTGGAGATGACTTCGGAAGAAGGATCCGCACTGGCATTGAGATTCGGGGTCGTGGTCCATTGGCCGTTAGATTCAACACGAACCGCACGTCGGATCAAACCAGTATTATCCTGGAAAAATAAGTGTCGGTCCCCATTAGAGAGGGATACGGCTGCCAGAGATGTATCGTTAAGGATATATTGAGGGGTATATGTCATATTCGACGCCGGAGGGCTATAAAAGTAAGCCAGGAGGAAATTCGATTCGTACAATTTCCGTACCTGCTAACTCTAGGAGGCTTATATAACAAATACTCGCGGTGATGCCAGATCCCAACCGAAACTCCAATAGCGATGACTGCAGCGAGAATCAACGCTATAACAATCCATGGCCATTTGCGTGTAAGCTTGGTGACATGAAGGTGTTCCTCAGTAGGCTTCTCGTTGCCATGAGCCTCTGGCAATGAATTATTATAGAGCACTTGTGGGGTGGTATCAGGTACAGTCTAAATCTGTAGTCAATACAACTTCTTGCCACGGATGGTGTTATGCTTACCTCGGGTGCCAGAGCGCTTGTATCAAGCTCAAAGGCTGTCGCATCGTAGTCGCGTTCTGGAGCTCTAGCAGTCTCATCGTGTTTAGCGAGTTCCAGGGTCGAATAGTGTCGGTCCATGCTTCAAGGTCTGAAATATCACAACTTGGCGGTAAGAGTGGGTTTGAAGAAATGTTCGCGGAAGGTAATAGTAGAAGTGGTTTTTGACATAGCCTTCATTTTCTTGTACTATGCGGTAAGGAGGGGGCGTGGTGTAGTGTATTAAATTGTTTCAAAAATGCAAGAACGGTTCAGCACGAACAACGAAAATCAAATTGATTGACGGAATTGTGCTTACGTGCAGCATGGATTATTGCCGATCTATCCTATAACTCTTGCCTCATATGAGTGATACTGCTGCGCAAAATTCGGCGCGCGTTAATTGGCGGGCATGATGTCCGGCATTGGTATTTAAATTTGTTGAAATGTTGATCTCTATATGTTGAAACATGTTAAGGGACACGTCTACGATTTGTTAAGACAAAATTTTAGGAGAGGTGGTTCATCTCATAGATCTAGCCAGAGAGGGAATTTGTCGAACGTCGTACATCCTTAAATATTCTAGAGATTAAAGGGGCGGTTCTTCGAAGTTCTGTTAGATTTTGTGAGGATGTAGTAGGAAGAAGGCTACATATATGCCCTGTGAAGCCTCTGCCAAGACTGTGTTATTCGTGTGCTCAGAGGCGGTGCATCATTTCCAACAATTTCGTTCTACGTAAGCCTTTTCTCCTGCTGGTGACCTGGAACGGATAGCCGTCGCCCGACTATTCGCTGCGCTTATTTACGCCCGGAAGAGATTTGTAGAGGCTCACGGTTTATAGCGACGGCGTTATGTAGGCCCGAGATAAATGAGCGACATTCGAGAAATACGAGAGAGAAATGTTGGTACTGTAGGTATCTCAGGTATTTGCCATGCAGAATAGCTAGTGGGCTATGTATGGAAGAGTATTCTAGTAATCACGCCAAACAAACAAGCTTCAATCTCGGTCTGGCCAGCATCCAAGACACCTTCTGCACACTTCCCAGCCCCAACGTATACGCAACGTCAAAGTTCTCGTCCCAGACAACAAGCATAACCAAATACAGCGGGCAGTTGTCCACATCCCTCCTCGTCATCAAGCCCAAAATATTGCGCTTCGGCAATCTGGATGAACTCGTGCCTGCCGATATCGAGCAAATGCTGATCAGCGCCATCAAGCAAGACCGTACCAACATTTTGAGACTCTGCGTCTATCAATCGATAGCGTAGTGGGGGAGGTTGCCATGGACCAGACGTCTCTGGTCGCTTTTCTGGTAGATTGTTTCACCCAAGCGAAATTTGACACTGCTACTTGTCCAGAACATGAGGTGGCGACTCTCGGTGTCCTTCGAAAGGCTCCAGGACCCATTGTTTGGCACCGGCGGAACATGCGATGGACTTCTATTCCCTTTGCCATCGAAATAGCAGGGACTGTTCTTTCATTCTTTGGGGAGTGTGGCGCCTTCGAAGGGGAAGCCGAGGCCGCTGTAATTCAAGGGTACTACACGCCTGGAGACGGCATCCCATACATGCCATCGGACAAGCGGCCTGACACCCTCTTGACCATACGCGTCGTTATCGTAAGCGAACAAATGTACCATCCATTTTCCGCGTCACCATGAACAGCTCATCGTACGCCACCCGGCCGACCCAGCCAGGCCACGACCAGCTGGGAAACCCGCTTCTGCGTTGAAGCTGCCTCGTCGGCTTCTAAAACAGAGCGCTGTCGAGAAGGCTTCCCGGAAGACCGAGCAGTGTCTTGCATCTGAAAAAGCGCGAGAAGATATGCAGCAATCCGGCAAATACATTTTAAGACGTCTGACTCGTAGCTTATATCGCGATAGGTATACTCCTCTATCGCCCATGTGTATTCGGCGAATACGGCAGAGCGGATGAGTCAGGTGGCGCCATACCGCGTGATCTCTGTGCTGCCATCGATCCACTTGCTCCCTGTATCCACGCCCATATGCTGACGTTTCAGCGAGAGCCACTGTAATGGTGGATAAAGCACACCGGAGTCTACGACAGTCATACCTTCCCGGCAGATCATCCTGCGGCAAATGCCATGTTATTTGGCCATGAGTGAAGACGATGAGGCGTCGGCAAAGAAGACGTTCTTGAAACGTCCAGGCACGTATGTTCCACACAGAGTCGCCACCTGGTGGTTTTGAGCGGCAAGAGGCGCAATGAGCGACAGATTGCCTTTGAGGCCTACTTGAACTTGTTGACTAGCTGGCTGGCCTGCCTGAGGAACGTATTGCTGACGGATACATTCAATACCAGAGATCGCTGTAGCCCCTTGTGCCGCGACGATGGTGCAGATGGCCGCGGTCCGTAAATTAACTTCTACGCGAAGAATATAGTTATCAAATTGATATCTAGAAGTAGTATTAAGGAATCATTATGGTTTGACTCATATATGTGTGTGGTGTAAAGTTGTTGATTAGTCTATGTGGTCTGCAGGCACATACGTGCGGAGAGAGGCGCGCTAAGGCCTAATTAGGAAGGTGTAGGGCGAATTACTAATTCATACCCCAAAAGTATGGATCCTTACCGAATCATACCCCTACACCAAATCACACCCAAATATGGGGTATGATTCGGTAATTTGCCATTGCTTGGGGTATGATTTGGTAAGTTGTCAAAGTGGCCTCAAAGTACGAAGGAGATAATCCGCGATCTGGCTTATTCGATCATAGAAATAAGGGAGTTTCTCCGACCGTATTTGATGAGAATTCTATCAGCCTAAAAACATCAGACGAAAGCCGAGTGGGCGAAATTTCGACTAACCCGAGTTACCGCTAGGCTAGAAAGCCATGCCCGGGGGTGTCCGCACTTCACGCTGCAGACACCCCTATTCGGGTCCCGTAGGCCCCGTAGGGGCCCGTAGGGCCCCCGAAGGAATAATTCCTAACAATACCACTACGCTGCCGAGGCTGCGCAACGGGGCGAGGCGGGGTAAGCTTCGGGGGTCAGACTCCGCCCCGTTGCGCAGCGTAAATTATACCACCGTCATCAATAATCAAGTCGACGACTACTTCCAGACGCTCAGTAAGAGTAAGCCTACCACTACCATTACCTTCATTAAACCCTCTCACATTTTAAGGCTACTTTGAAAACTTACCAAATCATACCCCAAGCAATGGCAAATTACCGAATCATACCCCATATTTGGATGTGATTTGGTGTAGGGGTATGATTCGGTAATTAGGGGTATGATTCGGTAAGAATTCGTACTTTCGGGGTATGATTCGGTAATTTGCCCGAAGGTGTATCGAGTGTAAAGAATTAATTCGTAATAAGTAGATATAGATAAGTCTTAAACTCTTAATAACGATTAAATCGCTATAATTAATACTATTTAAAACGCGATCTCTTATTTTAATAAAAAAAATTCTAAAAAATTCTAAAGATATTAATAAAATTATATTTTAGAATATTATATTATAAAGATTATAATATAACTTTAAGATAGCTATTACTATAACTTTATCTAATATTATCTCTATTATTCTTTTAGATAATTTTATTACTTATTTCTATTCTAAGATTTCTCTTAATATTATTATTTAATTTACTTATAATATATTAATAAAGTTTAATTTTATTACGAGCCTACTCTATATCTTTCTTAATATACTATTTAGCTCTATAGTCTATTAGGGCCTAGCGTATCTTAATAGAGATATCTACTACTATCTAATATCTTCTATCTATATAGTTATTCGATATCTAATTATCTTATTTAATATATCTATATTAATACTATATCTATATTAATTCTAATACTATAACTAGATTATTTCACTTATTACATTTAAATTAATAGATGAATTTAAGAAATCTATTAATAGAGGCTTTAATAAGATATTAAATTAAGTTATTATATCTCTAGATAAATCTATTATATAGATAATATATTATAAAGAGTATTTATTAAGATAATTTAACGATCTTATAACTAGTTAGAGAAATAAAGTAATTACTAAATTAGTTTATTTATACGATTAGCAAATTTAAAGAAATCGCTACTCTACTTAATAATTATATAATTAATTCTCTAAGCGAAGTAAAAGCATTCAAAAGAACGATATTTAGACTATCTATGATTTTTATAACAGTCTAAATAGTCTATAAATTAAGAAAAAAAGTCTCTATAAAGTATAATATTATTTTTCGAATTTATAATAAAGTCTTATAAAAGATATTATAAGAAATTTTTCTATTTTCTTCTTTACTTAATATTTATAATATTAAAAACTTAAAAGAAATAAAGTAACTCTCTTCTTTTTATTTTAAAATTATTATAAATTTCGAATATATAATTAAGTAAGATAAATCGAGTTAGTAATCTTCTTACTTAGATATTTAATTATTAATAATTCTTACTATCTAATAATATAGTAGAGAATATTAAGACTATTACGAATTCTTAATAGATTATTAATATTAATTAATTACGCTATTAAGTTAATAAGAAGCCTAATTAACTTTTTATTATACTTCGCGATCTTCGCTATTAATAAGACTAATTTCGAAATATAGCTAAGTAATATATTAACTTTAAGATTAAGAAGAATAAGATAATAAATTAATAGAATAAGATCTAATAACGCTTAAAGTAAATTAATATTAAGATTAAGAAGCTATAAAAATATAATAGAGAGCTTTAATAATAGCTAATAATAATATAATTAGATATATTTAGAAATCTATAAACTACTCTTAAAATATAAGCGTTAATTCTCAGGAGACAATGTGACTATGTCATGATTTGGGTGTGTGGTGTAAAGATGTTGATTATTCTATGTGCCCACAGGGCAGATATGTGCGGTGCCAAGCCACGCTAGGCCCAAATGGGTGGTGGCTCTGGAGGAGGCCTTGGCGTACCGTGACAACATGCCCGCAAAGAATGAAAAAAAGACACGTCCTCGTGGCTGCATCTCTGGATAGCTACATCAATCATGCGCCGTCCATATATCCATGCACCTATCCTTGGCCTATAGCCTCCATATCCTTCGCGAATCGAATGTAGCCGAGCGGAGAGGCGAAAGTGAGAAGA